AGAAGTAGTAAAACCATTTATAAAAGCCAGCTCATGTACATGTACAGCAATGTTGAAAAAAGTGAATTAATCAAAAAGCCACGGAGTAGACTAGGGTCAGGGTGTTTACGACATTCAGATGTCATACTTAGTTTTTGTGACGTTATGATGTTCTACTCTTAATGTAAAACATAAGAAAAAAAATGTAATTTTATTCTAGCTTAGAGTTGACACCAGTGACACAAATCTGTGTAATTTGTACTGAACTCAGGTCTATTCTTTGATAGTTCTTTGACAAAGAACATTGGTTTCATCTGTCTGGAGAGTTACAGGCTCTACTCTTCTAAAGAGACCACGCATCACCTTCCTAAAGGGACCACACAGCACCTTCCTAAAGAGACCACACATCACCTTCCTAAAGAGACCACACATCCCCCTCCTAAAGAGACCACGCATCACCTTCCTAAAGGGACCACACAGCGCCTTCCTAAAGGGACCACACAGCACCTTCCTAAAGAGACCACACATCACCTTCCTAAAGAGACCACGCATCACCTTCCTAAAGAGACCACGCATCACCTTCCTAAAGGGACCACACAGCACCTTCCTAAAGAGATCATACATCACCTTCCTAAAGAGACCATACAGCACCTTCCAAAAGAGACCACACAGCACCTTCCTAAAGAGATCATACAGCACCTTCCTTAAGAGACCACACATCACCTTCCTAAAGAGATCATACAGCACCTTCCTAAAGAGATCACACAGCACCTTCCTAAAGAGAACATACAGCACCTTACTAAAGAGACCATACATCTCCTTCCTAAAGAGACCATACAGCACCTTCCTATAGAGACCACACAGCACCTTCCTAAAGAGACCACACATGACCTTCCTAAAGAGACCACGCATCACCTTCCTAAAGAGATCACACATCACCTTCCAAAAGAGACCACACAGCACCTTCCTAAAGAGATCACACAGCACCTTCCTAAAGAGACCACACATCGCCTTCCTAAAAAGACCACACAGCACCTACGTAAAGAGATCATACCGCTCCTTCCTGAAGAGAACATACAGCACCTTACTAAAGAGATCATACATCACCTTCCTAAAGAGACCACACAGCACCTTCCTAAAGAGACCACACATCCCCCTCCTAAAGAGACCACGCATCACCTTCCTAAAGAGACCACGCATCCCCTTCCTAAAGAGACCACGCATCACCTTCCTAAAGAGACCACGCATCACCTTCCTAAAGAGACCACGCATCCCCTTCCTAAAGAGACCACGCATCACCTTCCTAAAGAGACCACGCATCACCTTCCTAAAGAGATCACACATCACCTTCCAAAAGAGACCACACAGCACCTTCCTAAAGAGATCACACAGCACCTTCCTAAAGAGACCACACATCGCCTTCCTAAAAAGACCACACAGCACCTACGTAAAGAGATCATACCGCACCTTCCTGAAGAGAACATACAGCACCTTACTAAAGAGATCATACATCACCTTCCTAAAGAGACCATACAGCACCTTCCTAAAGAGACCATACATCACCTTACTAAAGAGACCACACATCACCTTCCTAAAGAGATCATACAGCACCTTCCTAAAGAGATCATACAGCAGCTTCCTAAAGAGATCATACATCACCTTCCTAAAGAGATCATACAAATGTACATCACCTTCCTAAAGAGATCATACAGCACCTTCCTAAAGAGACCACACAGCACCTTCCTAAAGAGATCATACAGCACCTTCCTAAAGAGACCACACAGCACCTTCCTAAAGAGACCATACAGCACCTTCCTAAAGAGACCACACAGCACCTTCCTAAAGAGACCATACAGCACCTTCCTAAAGAGACCACACAGCACCTTCCTAAAGAGATCATACAGCACCTTCCTAAAGAGACCACACAGCACCTTCCTAAAGAGACCATACAGCACCTTCCTAAAGAGATCATACATCACCTTCCTAAAGAGACCATAAAGCACCTTCCTAAAGAGACCACACAACACCTTTCTAAAGAGACCACACAGCACTTTCCTAAAGAGACCACACAGCACCTTCCTAAAGAGATCATACATCCCCTTCCTAAAGACAGCATACAGCACCTTCCTTAAGAGACTATACAGCACCTTCCTAAAGAGATCACACAGCACCTTCCTGAAGAGACCACACAGCACCTTCCTAAAGAGACCACACACCACCTTCCTAAAGAGACCACACAGTACCTCCCTAAAGCCGTTGTACTGGCTACCAGTAAAATACCGCCTCCCAATCGTGCAACCGTGCAGGTATCAAGGATCTGATGCTACCATACGTTTCGATAAGATCACCAAGGTCAAATTTGGTGTCCCAAAGACCCCCAAAAACACGCACATACGGAAACCGGTGTTTTAACAAGGCAGCAATATTGTGGAACTTGCGTCTAACATTTCTGTCGGTAGCCATTTTAAGAGGTCTTTAAAACCGTTTGATACTCCCCAACAAAATATTATACTCCCCAATAAACTTTTTTCGCTATGTACCGTTTCCCATGTGTTGCTTTGAGTGTTTGTCTGACCTTTATTTCAACCATTGTTGTAGATCGATATATATTTTGGTAAAGCATTTTAGAGAATATTTTCCATAAATTGATAGAACGCTACAATTTTTTTTGTTATAATATTTTTCATATTATTTTCATCTTGGGCACACTAATTTTAAAAGGCATTCTGCAACACCAACCTCCTGTTAGATATCGAATTAACTGCCTCGAGTTGATAACATAATAAGCAATCCCCCATGGATGAGGTGTATTTTATATACCATGTAAAGACCACAGAGGAAGAAACCAGTTCAAGAAAGGTACCTAACTCTGAAATATTTCCCTCTTTCTGTTGGGCGTCTTTAGGATACTATTTGTTCAGTGTTACGTTTGATAATATAAAGAAGCACTTCAGAGTTTTTTAAAACTTTGAAAGGATTTATCATTGCAAAAGTCAATATATTTGATGGGAAGTGAAATACTGTAAACTTATATTGACAGTTCACATGAATCACCCTTTGTCCACAACCATTAACTTTTACAGCAGTTTACCATTAGGAGATAGAGAACACTAGTTGTCAGTGTTGATGACCCCGGTTGACATCCGGGTGAACACGGTACCACGCCTAGTCGCGTTATGTCGACAACCGTCCGTACCACTTTACTACTACGCCTTCATACCCGTCAAATGAATATACCTTATCATTGGAGCAAAAGGTAATTCTTTATTGATCGCTTACTGATAACATTTGAACTGATTTATTCATTTTGTCGTTTGTTACGAGTTTATTTAAATCATGAAGTACTCTTGAAGCGTAGGAGAAATGACGATGACGTGTATGGAAAACAATGCAATATGTTTTGCCAGTCATTAAAACACCTTAGTACTTTGTCCCAATTTGTCCACACCCAGTAGCTGTCCACACCCACTAGCACCAGTCGCTGTCCACACCCAGTAGCTGTCCACACCAAGTCGCTGTCCACATCCAGTAGTTGTCCACACCAAGTAGCTGTCCGCACCAAGTAGCTGTCCACACCAAGTCGCTGTCCACACCCAGTAGCTGTCCACACCAAGTAGTTGTTCACACCAAGTGGCTATCCACACCCAGTAGCTGTCCCCACCCACTAGCACCAGTCGCTGTCCACACCCAGTAGCTGTCCACACCAAGTCGCTGTCCACACCCAGTAGTTGTCCACACCAAGTCGCTGTCCACACCCAGTAGCTGTCCACACCAAGTAGTTGTCCACACCAAGTGGCTATCCACACCAAGTCGCTGTACAACACCTGTTGTGTAGTGCATGACAACCGTTTTTCGATTCTCTCAGAACCTTGTGCCCTTTCTTTCAAAGTTGAAGGAGACTATGGTCACCATTATCTTTCGGAGAAAAAACTTATTTCTTTTTCGATACGAATATCGAAAATCTCCTAATGACTTCGTTGCCATCTGCGCGGTCCTCCTTTTTTCAGGACGTAGCATTACCTATATTTGATCTTATATGTACCTTGTATTTATACAAGGGTGTCTTTGTAAACCGTACCCTTGTTCACACTCTAACCTTCATCGATTCCGAGTTCGAAATTAGGCTTCGTTTATGCTTCAATAACGTTTTGGTATCCCCCTGTATCTCTGTATCATCAGTGAAAGCTTTGTCCTAAAGTGTCTGACTCTCGGTACGTACAGCGACTATATATGTATATATGCTATTACTAACAGTATCCTATTTGTACTGTTATAATTCAGATTATCTTCTATTATCGATAGCAATAACGAAGAATCGCACATTTCCATTGTTAGTAAAGTGGTGTCCATATCATTCCTACTTATATAAACTTAGCCAAGGCACGCTCACTATTTACCACATGTAGAGTTTTGGACTCGTTATCAAAGGGATCGAGTGCATGTGTCAGCTGCACACCTACGCAATACCAGATAGGAGACGATGTTCATCGTAGCTCAGTATCCATTTAGTATCGGAGATATTTTTAATATCTCTGTCTGTCTGTCTCTGTCTCTGTCTCTCTCTGTGTCTGTCTGTCTGTCTCTCTGTCTCTCTCTCTAAAAAAGGAAACCAATATCCAATCTCTATTTCACGGTTGCTTTACGGTATAGTAATTAGTAGTTTGCAATCGCTTATTCAGTGCGCCAGCTATTCAAAAATTGGTAAGCCAAGTATGACAGTAACAATTTTCGGTTAATAAAATTGCTAAAGACAACCGTTGATCGGCGATGGGGACGTCATTGACGTTCATATTACAGGTTGTGATTTCACAGGTGAGGCGTATTAATTAACCTACCTGTAGAATGGTGGGTGGTTCCAGTACCCCACCTGTACCTGCTCTTATCGCGGGTGTGGCCTGCAGCATAGCTACGCAGCTAGGTCAAAATCAATAGCCACACTGCATTAACATACCTTTCAAAATCCAAAGGGACCTTTATATTGGAAATAATTTATGTACCCTTTCATTTCTGCCGACAGCTCACCTGTGGTCGGATATATCAAGTCTGTTATCAGCCAGAATAGTTGCTCGCTTTCAGGTGGATATTGTACAAATATGACCATATAATTTGATTTTTTTGGGTTTGAAAATTTGAATATACCATGAGTGTGACTCCAATGGATTTTACACTTGCATTGTTCGTTCTTCTGTGGAATGTAAGTATACGTTAAACAGTTTTTAGTTACTATCAAAGAACGTTAAAAAGATAATAATGATACTACTACAGTATAACAACTGTGTAGTAATATATAGATACAGTGTTGGACCTCCGGGTCATTCCAGAAAAAGATCGGTACATGTCCGAAAATCTTCAATATTTCGCTGCTGTTGTAATCAATATTCTACATATTAGATGTAAAAATTCTCCGCAAATGGTTTACAAATACCTTCATTTGTTTGCACATTTTCTTTAACTGCTTTACTCAACTGTACGTTTTTATAAGACGACTCATTCCAACTTTGTAAATCGGAAATCTACTTCTTTATCTTCAATTTAGGGGGTTGGGGGTTGGGTTAAATAATTCATCAAATGTTATCCCTTTTGGCATCACCCTAAGGTCCTAATAAGTCGTAAGTCAGAGGCACGATAGTCCAGTGGTAGGACGCCGGGCTCGTGACCGAAGGTTGGCGGGTTCGATTCACGTCACGGCACTGTGTTGTATCTTTGAACAAAATACTTTTTTCCGCTTGTTCCAGTCTACTCAGCTATAAATGGGTACGTGGTTGGGCAGTGCTAGAATGTGTTGAATATTAGCTGTGAGCGCCGAAATGGAAGCACCGGCTGTATGCTCCCCAGGGAGATGAAACAGATATTGTCTGGTTGCAAAGACCCTATAACCACGGATAATAAGTTGTGAACCGCTTTGACACGACCTACAAACTAGGTTGTGATTATTATTATTTTATTATTATAGAGGTGTAGTGAGATCGAGTTCAGGTTGCGTAATTCTACTCGTTAAGTTAACCAATGAGAGGCCCACTCATCTGTGGACAATGCTTTATACGACTATCCTTATACAGTAACGAGGATGTAAATCACAGAAATATATAGGTATAAGGATGATAATAGTGTACGTATTTCCCTGATATTGATATAAACATGTCTCTCCTATTAATGAGTTGTTAACTTTAACATATCCCTCTTATTAATGAGTTGTTAACTTTAACATGTCTCTCTTATTAATGAGTTGTTAACTTTAACATGTCACTCTTATTAATGGGTTGTTATCTTTACCATATTCCTCTTCTTAATGAGTTGTTAACTTTAACATGTCTCTCTTATTAATGAGTTGTTAACTTTAACATGTCACTCTTATTAATGGGTTGTTAACTTTACCATATTCCTCTTCTTAATGAGTTGTTAACTTTAACATGTCTCTCCTATTAATGAGTTGTTAACTTTAACATGTGTCTTATTAATGAGTTGTTAACTTTAACATGTCACTCTTATTAATGGGTTGTTAACTTTACCATATTCCTCTTCTTAATGAGTTGTTAGCTTTAACATGTCTCTCCTATTAATGAGTTCTGAACTTTAACATGTCTCTCCTATTAATGTGTTGATAACTTTAACATGTCCCTCTTATTAATGGGCTGTTAACTTTAACATATTCCTCTTCTTAATGGGTTGTTAACTTTAACATGTCTCTCTTAGTAATGAGTTGTTAACTTTAACATGTCTCTCCTATTAATGTGTTGATAACTTTAACATGTCCCTCTTATTAATGGGTTGTTAACTTTAACATATTCCTCTTCTTAATGAGTTGTTAACTTTAACATGTCCCTCTTATTAATGGGTTGTTAACTTTAACATATTCCTCTTCTTAATGAGTTGTTAGCTTTAACATGTCTCTCCTATTAATGAGTTCTGAACTTTAACATGTCTCTCCTATTAATGTGTTGATAACTTTAACATGTCCCTCTTATTAATGAGATCTTAACTTTAACATGTCTCTCCTATTAATGTGTTGATAACTTTAACATGTCCCTCTTATTAATGAATTGTTAACTTTAACATGTCCCTCTTATTAATGGGCTGTTAACTTTAACATATTCCTCTTCTTAATGAGTTGTTAGCTTTAACATGTCTCTCCTATTAATGAGTTCTGAACTTTAACATGTCTCTCCTATTAATGGGTTGTTAACTTTAACATGTCTCTCTTAGTAATGAGTTGTTAACTTTAACATGTCTCTTTTATTAATGAGTTGTTAACTTTAACATGTGTCTTATTAATGAGTTGTTAACTTTAACATATCCCTCTTATTAATGAATTGTTAACTTTAACATGTACCTCTTATTAATGAATTGTTAACTTTAACATGTACCTCTTATTAATGAATTGTTAACTTTAACATGTCCCTCTTATTAATGAATTGTTAACTTTAACATGTACCTCTTATTAATGAATTGTTAACTTTAACATGTACCTCTTATTAATGAATTGTTAACTTTAACATGTACCTCTTATTAATGAATTGTTAACTTTAACATGTACCTCTTATTAATGAATTGTTAACTTTAACATGACTCTCCTATTAATGAGTTGTTAACTTTAACATATCCCTCTTATTAATGAATTGTTAACTTTAACATATCCCTCTTATTAATGAATTGTTAACTTTAACATATCCCTCTTATTAATGAATTGTTAACTTTAACATGTACCTCTTATTAATGAATTGTTAACTTTAACATATCCCTCTTATTAATGAATTGTTAACTTTAACATGTACCTCTTATTAATGAATTGTTAACTTTAACATGTCCCTCTTATTAATGAGTTCTTAACTTTAACATGTCTCTCCTATTAATGAGTTCTGAACTTTAACATGTCTCTCCTATTAATGAGTTTTTAACTTTAAAATGTCTCTCCTATTAATGAGTTGTTAACTTTAACATATCCCTCTTATTAATGAGTTGATAACTTTAACATGTCCCTCGTATTAATGAGTTGTTAACTTTAACATGGCTCTCCTATTAATGAGTTGTTAACTTTAACATATCCCTCTTATTAATGAATTGTTAACTTTAACATATCCCTCTTATTAATGAGTTGATAACTTTAACATGTCCCTCGTATTAATGAGTTGTTAACTTTAACATGTCCCTCTTATTAATGGGTTGTTAACTTTAACATATTCCTCTTCTTAATGAGTTGTTAACTTTAACATGTCTCTCTTATTAATGAGTTAACTTTAACATGTCTCTCCTACTCACCCTTATGTCTGTCCAATAACTATCATTATGCCTCTAATATCAATGTAAATATTACCCAGTATTAACTGTTACCTAGATTACTGTATAGAATGCCTATAACGACAAGAGCGTGTTTATGTTGCCTGCTTTATTTTTAACCACTTACAGGTGTGAGCTCATCTACATTGTCACCTTACCATTAATCAAGTTACTGTTATCTTAAGATTTCTTTGTATCCACAAACAAATATACGCCCAATAGCAGATTGCTCCAGACGTATTTGCATACTTCTCAACATTGATTGGCAAAACAAGATACGAAGTGCATACATTATCCATTAAAGTAACTAAAGACCGTATGATATATGCTAGATTTGATATTTTATGAAGATATGAACAAAACTGAATAGGATATCTCTTTAAGTGTATCACAAGAGATCCTAGAAGGATCTTCGTGTTCACCATCAAAGGATCTTTATCAGATCTGCAAAAATATCTTTTACCCTCTTTGCTCTTCATTTTCCTTACAGATACCCTGTCTCATGTTGGAAGTTCTAAACAGAAATCGTGTATATTATCTTAAGTTATAGAACATATGTAATTGCCACTATGGTAAATGCTAATAGTGGCAAAAGCTACTTCATAAGAATTGCATAACTATATGCAAAATGGCTAAAATTTATAATTCCATACATAATTTTGAGTGCTGTCAATAACGGATGCTTTCTCATAACGGCAAGGCTTTTAAAATTAGGTCCAAGGGGACACAAATATCAAATGTAAGAAAGATAAGTCAAGAACTTTCCTTGAAGTAGTGATAACAAACCTAATCGTTAAAACACATAGATGGCCACCAGTCGGCCATTTTTTCCTCAATCAGTCTCAAAAGAATACATGCACAGCTATAGACCAAGGGAAACCTGAATATCGAATTTGATATAGATCTATCTAAAACTTTCTGTGAAATAGCGATAATAAATTGTACACATGTAACTATGTAAATGTTCAAGATGGCTGCATATCAGTAACATGCAAAGATATAGACAAGGGCAAACAAGCATGTTACATTTGAGAAAGATCCGCCAAGAGCTTTCTGAGAAACAGAAATGATAAACTTCAACTGCCAAATTCAAAGATGGGCGCAGGTTAGCCAGTTTGTTTTTCTAGTCTCAAAAGTAAATATGCACAACTACAGGCCACAGGGTACTTATATATTAGATTTTAGAAAGATCCCTCTAGTCATTTCTGTGAAATAGCATTCAAGAGGACTGCTCGTTGGCCATCTTGGTTTCGTACTCACTCTAAAAGATCGATATGCGTAACCAGGGTTCATGTGAAGTTTGTGAAAGTTCCCTGCGCTACTTTCTGTTAAATAGTGCTAACAAACATTAGTTTTAAAGATCAATATGGCCACCTGTCGGCAATCTTTATTTTCTGATCAGTCTTAATATTTGATATTCATGTGATGTGTACGTAAAGACAGACCAAGGGGAACCTTCATGTTAGATTTGTGAAAGACCACTTCTTTAACTTTTAAGAAATAGCGCTAACAATCTTTAACTCTTAAAATACAAACCGCCTGTCGCCCATGTTTGTTTTCTGATTTGTCCAAAACTTCGAAATGCATAACAATGGACCATTGGAAACCTTCATGTGTGTGAAAGAACTCTCCTTTAACTTCTAAGAAATAGCGCTAACATTCTTTAATTCTAAAAATAAAACCCGCTTCACGGCCATTTTTATTTTCCGATCAGTCCAAAAATTCGATATGCATAACAATGGACCATTGGAAACCTCATGAGAAAAATATCTCTTGTGCTTAGGCGTTAAAAAGAATTCATGAAGGACGGGCGGGTAACGGACCACGGACGAAAGGTGATTTGAAAAGCCCACCATTTGATGATGGTGGGCTTAAAATTTGAAAAATCTTTCTTACACAATTCATCATTTAAATACATATGATTGTACAACATATTTATTGCTTTACTTTGGAACCTGAATATTAAGATATCTAATCAGGTTCAAGGCATATCGTAGGAATTTTCTAAATAAATATTTAATGAACACCAATATTGCTAGTGGAATAGAGAAAAAAACAGTCTTTTTTCGCGTGAAGGTGGTGCGTTGTCCCTTTGGACGAAATACACAATTGAGCAATTAACTTGTTCCACCTTCAATACATTTTTAATCATTTAATTTACATACCAGCATGATTAATAAACATGAATTATCTTGACGATTGACAGTAGATCCATTTAAAGAGTCAGTAAAATATTTATTTTACTAATAGTTATGAACTGGTTCCAAATTCGCTCAGGTAGCTGACCAATAAACAGTTATGCAGCGGCTCAATTCAGGCCACGACTATGTCAACAAGGTGTGTTAATGGAAGTCGAAAAGTGCATCCGTGAAATGTTGAGTTTCTTAAGAAACCAGATGACGATTTAAACGATGTTGTCGACTGAATTCCTGTGTCGACCGACTGTGATAACAGGACTTGCTCATTGTTGGAGAGTTCGGTATGCGTTTTTGACATGCGTCGTCACTTGCAGTCGACGCCAATGCAGAAGACAGCGATTTCCTCTGTTGAATAAGGATTCGTTATGGGATCTAGCCTGATAGCAGACTCACTTAGTGATGTGTTCTGATTCAAAACCAGCATCCTCAATTGTATTGCCGTTGCACAGAGACAGTTTGGTGTGTGGGTGTTCGATAGCACCCGTACAAATAATTAGGATTGCCTTAAATGTGGTTATTTGAAGCCGTTTACATAGATGAAAAAACCCGTTGATAAACAATCTAGTTTTGTTTTCCATGCTAATGTAAATATTAAAAATTGAAAATAACTAAGTTAGCATAATTAAATAAATATGTAAAAAGGACCTAAGAGACAAATAAATAAGGAAATAAAAGAAATACAGGAGCCATCAAAATAAATGCAGAAATCCAAATCTCTCACAAAAACATCCTGACACTCAGGTACAAATCCCTTGTCAACGGGACACATGTCTCCAAAACATCTTGACACTCAGGAGCAAATCCCTAGTCAACGGGACACATGTCTCCAAAACATCTTGACACTCAGGAACAAATCTCTAGTCAACGGGACGGATGTCTCCAAAACATCTTGACACTGAGGTACACATCCCTGGTCAACGGGATACACATCCCGAAAACATCTTGACACTCAGGTACACATCCCTGGCAACGGGACACATGTCTCCAAAACATCTTGACACTCAGGTACAAATCCCTGGTCAACGGGATACATATCCCGAAACAGCTTGACACTCAGGTACAAATCAATGGTCAACGGGACACGTATCCTCAAAACATCGTGACACTAAGAACAGGTCTTGGAGCTAATTAACTGTGATATATTAACTCTTTCAGCAGGAATACTGGATTGTTACTACCGAGGAATTAAACGGGGAATTATATGTATATATATTTTTGTTAAGATCCAACCAGTATTTCCTTGTTATGGGATCTTAAATTTCACGATCTTGAAAAAAATTACAAGGAATCAAAGGCCGGCCGAATTTTCTCTAGAGCCGGCTAACTATCGAGATATATTTGAATGCAACGAATCCTAGGTTTATTTTCAAAGTCGGATTTATGGTGTATTTAATCGAACTAAATTAAGTTTCAACTTAAATATCATGACCTTTGACTATTGCTTATTCAAAAGAATTTGTTCAAAGATTCTTACACATTTGACCTCTGTGACGTTGAAAGTAAAACAAGGATATTCAGTTAAACAAATTGTGTAGCCCTTCACAGCATGTTACTGGCCAATACTCATCAGTCTGGGCCTATTGGTTATTACATGAAGAATTTGATTATTTGTTTTTCTCATTTGACCACAGTGGCCTTCAAAATAGGCCAAGGTCATTCATTTGAACAAACCTAATCCAAGCATGCTTCTGGCCAAATATCATTACCCTGGATCTCTGGTTATACAGAAAACGTTTAACATTTTACTTGAGTCAAGGTCATTCATTCATTCAGACTTGTAGTCATTCATCTAAGCATGCTTACAAGAGGCTCCACGGGCCTGTACGCTTACATGAATTACTTCGATATAGAGTAAATAACTACAACTGGTTTTTGAGAATCAGGGAAAACAAAACACTGCAACTCAAAGGCCAGGGTGGCTATGCTGGATGTTCAGATCGGCACAAAAGTAAGAATACTTCATAAGAAGTTACAGGTCGGATATTTAAAAAAATCTGTATTGGTACTTATTAGCTAAATAACCGCTGTACAATATTAACAAACTACTCTAGTGTCTAAACTAACGGATACTATTTGTTGTGCCGTATCAAAAATACTAAAGCACCTTGGGACCTTTTCATCTATTTTGAGGATTTGATTATTACGTCTCACAATCATCACACTACAATCACATGATGTTAATTACCACCGTGGCTAACCTTTGATATGCACCTTTATGCCCTTTCCATTACTGAAGCCTTCGGACTAGTTGAGCTAAAGGAATCCCAAATACAAGCATAGAAAACTATGTTAAAGTCATATTCAGTCAACTATCTTACATATAACATAACAACAGAATATATCTACGTAGCTTGAATGTCAACAGATGAGAAAAATACTTTCGATGTTGAAAGGAATCCAACTTTGGCATTTACATAAAATCAGCATATCGTTACTTCGAAATTAACACTGACCGACTCCTAATCGACTTGTACCTACGACAGAATATACAATTAATTGCGTCAACCAAAGGGACTAAGGGTAGAACCAAGCTAAATTCAGCTTTTAAACACACCAACAAACATTGTGCAGTTCCCTATTATAACGTGATGTCAATATTATGTCGAGATTTTACTAAATATACTCAGGGCTTAACGTCCATATTTAAAATCTACCATACTGTGATCTCAATACTTACGTGAATTGTTTGTACCTTACTCAATGGTTCTGAATGCTATTGTTTCCTTTTTCTTTTATAGATAATTGATGTTGAGAGCAAAGGGAAGCTGGCCATACAGTTAGTGGACTTCCACAACAAGCAGGGACTTGACATTAACGGTCAATGTTGTGACGGGGCCAATATACCCATGTGTCCATTGGAACAATGTGACCACCACTTCACTGTCTGTGCTGGAGAACACCCCAGGTAACACACACCTAAATTGTAGCATATCCCATTGTACATATATGACCTTTTCACTGACCTGTTTGTTGTATATGATATATCTGAGCTATTTGTTGGGGGAGTTGAGGGGAACGACAAAGATTTGTAATTGACACGAGCTGAAAGAGAAAAGGGGGTAACGGATTTCAGTCTGCCGTTATATCCCTTTGTATTTATTAGTATAGGAGACCCCTATTTTTTAATATTACAAGTAAATCGATCAATGTCCCTGTGGGTGAAAGGCTTCAAAATGCTCCTTATTTTTGTTTTCGGTTTAAAAAAGACACCAAAGTTAATGGTGGTTAATATCTACAAACATTAACACTTTTTAATATGTTCTAATCATCCTATGCTAAAACATCCAAACATCAAACAACTTCGTAATTGACCAATTAAAATGAGATGCATCGACATTTTCTAAGCATTTTAGTCGATAATTTACTGTCGGGTCGCAATGCATTTTAGTCGATAATTTACTGTCGGGTCGCAATAATTCATTTCTTTAGCTAATTCGATGTTTAAACAGATTAGTTATTCTATACAATAGATCTTAATTCAGATGACTAATCAATCAATTAACATACGATCAATTTACAATGAACATTCTTGTAGGCGTTTTGACCAACAGATATCAGTTTTCCATCTGACGCTTTTTCTTCTACCTTAGCAAAGAAACAAATCTTAATCAATATGCATTTGATGAAAATAGAAATGAGTGATGTGTTGTGGTTATACTAAGGGCCGTTTTACTATGGGTACGATTTAAATCACGTCGTAAGTCCTAACCTTTATGTTAATGAGGTATTAAGATTTACGACATGTAAGTAAGATCCCAAACTATTAAGATAAAAATTAATATGCGTGATTTTTCAATAAAGATAATCTTAAGAGTCATTTCTCTTCTACCACTAACGATAAAACATCAGACCCTTCATTATAACAATCGTTTATTCAGCCACTTGTTATGATGAGTTTGATCGACTGCTGCCTTTGCACTCTCCATTCCATATTTGCTACTGTGTTTTGCTAAGTATCACAATTAATTTTACATTAACACCGAATGATACGTTGATGACACTCAGGTGCAGCAGCTTTGTTGGTTTTGACAGACATAACTTATTTTTCTTCCGAAAGCATCCATCCCCATTCTCTAAGGTTTAAAGGCATTCCTCATGTCTGTACTTCTAACTACAGTATGTTAGGGCGGCGGAAGTTGGGGGAGTGTTGTGAATTTGTAGGAACGTTTTATTCGCCATAACCTGATTTACAAACTTTATGTATCTTATAGCATCCATATTCCGTTTAGGAAACCATTGATCAGAGTACTGATTTGTTTTTTTTAGAAACAATTACATGTTCCTTAGTAGAGCTTGGTGAGAAAATCACACTCGTTTAGGGTTTTAAGACGTTGCTCTAATCAAATGTCTTTAGAGTTACCCTCCTCCGTACACCAAATAATCTTGAGGTAGAATCACAACCACTTGTAGCGATGATCACGTGGAGTATCTGACGGAGCCCGCTTAAGTCCCATACCTTCAATTTGTCATCTGATTAATGATCGGAGTTGTTGTGCAGTTTGGTCCGCATGAAACAAGAGCACAAACATATCTGTATCTATGTCTCCATGGTACCCAATGATCTGTTCCCTCGGCATATTAATGAAGATCTGCTTATTTGCCAAGAAAACGTGTTTTTTTCGGAATGTAGTATTCATTTTAAAATTTGGTTCAGACGATCCCCCGCGTGCGTCACAAGTAGATTTTATCTTTTGTGTAGGGGCCAGAGCTGTAGCCATCAAAACAACGGTTGTATCTGTGTGTATGCGCTGTATGTAGTCGATATATTTATGGCATGTCTGGCAGAATATCGCATTAGGGGGAGCTCCATCAATGACATAACGAAATCCATCTTCAACTCAACCTTTACAATCACCTAGATATTGCGTCAATGAATGTTGACTTCTCATAAAGACAGATGGTATAGATATGCACTTGGATGGTCAACCGATTTGCATCAGAAAATATCGGCTTCGTCTTCGTAGATGTTGTCCACAGCAGCGAACAATGACACGTTGACATAGCAGTTGGTGGTAGACTGAAAAGGTTTCATTATTGACCTAGAATGAGGATTTCTAACCTTGATTTATAGCTCACTGATTTCGTTTGTATGAGATTTCTTGGACGCCTTTTATCGTTCACAGATTTACGAACAGCTGAGCCAATTAGTTTGCTCTGTCGGCGTTGACATTGTTTCAAAACAATATTTCAATCCAGACTAGGGAATACGGATTTTTCCAAAATGATCGATGACCCCCCTTTTCATGTGTACAGAGCTGTATGCCTCGTTCCCGCAAACTCTCTCCATGTCTGCCACTTATTTGGTAGTAATTTGATCTCCCTCTATCGCCTCTATCAGTCTGAAGACCTGTAGAAAAGCATCTTCAGAAGATGCGTTTTTAGGTCGTACAGGGATTCCCTTTTTGTTGTGGTCATTATAAGGAATTTACGACAACGGTATCATCGTCCACGTTTGGATTTAGAACTGCATCGCTGATGGTAGACGGTATCTGCTACAGAAAGGTCTGCGTAGACTATTTGGAGTCAATTAAGAACTTGTTCTACCCATTCATCATTTTCTGTCATACATCTAGCTTTCACAATGTTCTTGCATTCCGTTGTCCCAATTGGATATAAGTCGTTACCTATTTTCCTATCGTTTACCATTGCAAGTTTCAATTAAAAAGGCTTTGGTCCATTTAGTCGAGTAACAGTGGATCTTTAAGTTCCTTTTGGAACAATTCCTTTTGCTCCTAACTCTTGATGCACTTTGGTTTTGCGATGTTATGATACTGTTTCCTCTTTGTCGACTCACACGGATGATATTTTCACTTAAATTTGTGATGTTGGCTTAANATAGTCAAATGTCTTGGTCAATCAACAGAAGGGTCGTTATTTGTGGATGACTTCTTGATCTGTTACAGATCTAAGAACATGCACACGATAGAACGACAACTTCAACAGAGTTTAAACAAACTACAAAATTGGGCAGACGAAAACGGCTTCAAATTCTCTAAATCCAAAACTGTGTGCATGCATTTCTGTCAAAAACGAAAAGCACACAATGACCCAAATCTAACACTCGATGGCACTAGAATTCCTGTTGTTGAACAGACTAAATTTCTCGGCCTCATTTTTGATTCGAAACTCTCTTTCATACCACATATAAAGTATCTGAAGGATAAGTGTTCCAAGGCGTTAAACATTATACGAGTCCTTTCTCATACTGATTGGGGAGCGGATCGTGAAATGCTTTTGCGCCTATACAGATCACTTATTCGAACAAAACTGGATTATGGTTCTATGGTATACGGGTCAGCGCGCAGTTCGTACCTTCAGATGCTAGATCCAATCCATAACCAAGGGCTACGTCTTGCCCTGGGAGCTTTTCGAACAACACCTGTAAAAAGCCTGTACGTGGAAGCAAATGAACCATCCCTTTATGACAGAAGAATAAAACTTTCATTACAATTTGCAACTCAATTAAAATCAAACCCTAAAAATCCTGCTTTCAACCAAGTATTCAACCCCAAATACCAAAACATATTTACGCAAAACCAAAAACTTCTGCCAACATTTGGTATCCGAATTTTGAATTTCCTGCAAGAACTCAACATAAAATTGACGGACATAGCTGAATTTAACATATCTGATGTTCCTCCGTGGACCATTCAAACCCCCGATTTTAACTTTACATTACATGAGCGAGGGAAATCAAGTGTTATGCCCGAAGAACACAAATCCTCCTTTCGGGAATGCATTTCGAATTACCCTTCTCATACACAACTTTACACCGATGGCTCCAAAGAAGGTGAGAAAGTGGCAGCAGCCTGCTGTACTGCCAATACTTGCACTTCAGTCCGACTACCAGACGGCGCCTCCATCTTTTCTGCTGAAGCATGCGCCATTGGTTTGGCCCTCGACCATATCGATGAACACCGCATTAAAAAGGCAATTATTTGTTCAGACTCTCTATCTGTCCTACAGAGTTTACAGTTACGAGATCCTAAAAACACAATCGTACAAAACCTTGCTCTTCGAATATCTCGTATATTAAAAAAGTCTAAAATAACTTTACTATGGATTCCGAGCCATGTCGGAATAAAAGGCAACGAATTTGCTGACAGGGAAGCAAAAAATGCATTGAATCTCGAACAAACAAATATCAAACTACCATACACAGATTTTAAACCTACTATTCGTACAGCCATTCAAAATGAATGGCAGAAACGCTGGTCTCTGGAGACCAACAACAAACTTTTTAAGATACAACCGAAACTTAAAACATCTATTCCCAGTCGGAAAGATCGTAGAGAGGAAGTTGTCCTCGCTCGGCTCCGCACTGGGCACACATATCCTACTCATTCGTACCTTTTAAAACGAGAAGATATACCTTCATGCCACGCATGTGACACTCCATTTACAGTGGAGCATTTTTTAATAGAATGTTCCGATTTTAAACACATTCGTGATAACTACTTCCGAGTCCCGGATATGAAAACACTTTTCAGTTCCGTGGATTCGAAGGCATTATTTAACTATTTGAAAGATATCGGTCTATTTTATAGACTCTGATGTCTTTTAACCAACCTTATCATTTTTGACGTTATATATATACCGCATATTCCATATCATCTATTCGTTATCTCTTTTATTATTTTAACCCCCTTTTATTATTATTTTTATTATCTACACATACAATGCGAATACTTTTAAAAATGAACCATTTTTATCTGATTTTATCTTCGCGATTAACAATGTTTGTTAAAATAAGATAAATAAATAAATAAATCACCATGGCCCTAAATGACCACAGCCGTCGATGGGCCGTTAAACATAAACAAACAAACAAACAAACAATCATAATCATCATCATCATAATCATCATCATAAAAAGGCAAAACACACAGGTTTCCATCACAACCTTTTATAGAAGAACATGATGCTTTTATTTAACATGGTACCATAAATAAATGAATATATTGGCTTTGATATCTATATAAAAATGAAATTAAGAATGATATCGAACAAAAGTTAAAAAAACACAAAAGAACAACAACAACCATTTTGCCTCATATGGAATTTTTAAAAATCAAAACTCAACATTTTTGCAATTTACAGTATCCAGAAATGCGTGGTGCTAGGCTATAAGTTCACTAGTTATTTTCAAACTTAATGTGTACTCAAATATAACAAATGCAGTGCTTTGTGTGATTTATGCAAATGTACGTTTATTAGAATCATAAATCAAACAAAACACACACCATACAGACATCAAAGCTGACACATCCGTATATAAAATAAAAAATACTCAAGTACCAGAACGTCCAATGATACGGATAGTCCCTGACGTCATAGTATGCATATTAAGTCAAAGGTGTAGGAACAAAGTTTACAAACAATCCTTTCAATGGAACTTGACAGGTTTAAGTAGCTGTGGCACTAGCAACGGCTTAAACAAAGAGGAACATGGCCTAGGACTCGGTGACCTATACAAATACGCCCATTCAAAATTGTTGGCAGATTTTCATGTTTTCAATATGTGACACATTTAAGTGTTACAACATTTGGCGCAAAATCGTTTAAAGATCTGGCACTTAAAGAGTTCCGAGATGCGGCAATCGAATACTTATATGTTACAAAGAAATAGGCGATGGACATTTAAATCTACAAGATTTGTCATAGTAAGTGGTACAAGATTTGACATATTATGTGTTACAAAGAAATTAGTGCGGCACATTTAGATTAGCAAGATTTGTCATATTTAGCGTTACAAGATTTTTTAAATAATTTATTACACGATTTGCCATATTAAGTGTTAAAAAGAAAAAGATGCGGCACACTTAGATTAACAAGAAAGTTGCCATATTAAGTGAGACAAGATTTGTAACTTCGCTAAAGATTATCATACATGAACACATCAGCCCACTGATACATTAACTAAATAACTTGTCTTGTCAAATTGAAAGTTAGAAAATGACANAATTGCTATGTGGGCAAAATTCTTTTGTTCCTGTAACAGGTCCTTTCTCTGTGAATTATAAGCAAAATAGTGGTAACAATATGAATATGATATTATATATCTGCAACCATGTGCCAAATAAACCAAGAGACCAGTAAAATATGTCCAAACCTTAGAAAAAGGACTGCAATAATAGTCGTTGTCTATACTGTACCTGACTGAAATATGTATCGAGTCAGTGCCAACATTAACTGGTAAACTACAATTTTCTATTATATGCATTTCTTTTTCTAGTGCGAATTTAACCGGAGGGGGATGTCAGTTTGGGAGAGAAGATTTTAATGCTCACGATAACGAGAATGAAATCTCCTTTACTGCTGGAAAGTCATCTTTATTCAGTTTTGATACCTGGAAGGTAAGTTTGCATATGTATGACAGGTAATGTTATGTATCATGAAAATATCTGATGTAAATATGTTCTGTAATATGTTTGTACTTCGTGCAAAATGACATGTTTAGTAATGTCATAATCAGTGTTCACATCATGATATATATTTAAGTGAAATGTTTAGCCAACCACCATCTAATGGTGGGCTATTCAAATCGCCCTGTGTCCGTGGTCACAGAAAAGTGATCAGGAAATAATATGAGTAGCAGCTAGCATTGAATGTAACAAATAAACCGTATGAAATCAACAAAAGGATTAACTGTTAATTGTAAGCATTAACTTGAACGAACAACTTAGTCTCTCTTTGCATTTTCAAAGCATAAACTATCTGACTTTTGGTCAGTGTAGGTATGTCAAACGCCCTTCTTACTACTATAAACACTCTACTGAGCCTGTTTAATCTACACGCATTCAGACTAGTTTTGTCAGGAACTATTTGGTGTTAGGCAAGGAGATGCACTTTGATCCTTGTACTCAAAATAATAGGAAAAGGTGTTTTTAAGTAAAAAGGCATTGTGGGATAAGTATGAAACTATGCCAAGTAACATGCTTATCCCCCAATGCCTTTTATGTACAATCAGCGGATAAACATTGGAATTAGGCAGAACATTTGCTAAAACAAGGAAATCTATTAACTTTAACGATTAAAACATATACTTTCCTTGAGGCTAGGAGACTTAAAATTGTCAGCAAATCAATCTTCATATACTATCAATCATTTTATAGTAATTATGGTGAAATATGTCATTTTTTATCTGTAAGTTAACTTTGCAAAGTAAGAAAACATCACAGAACCTGGGACTCACTCCAGCAACAGCTGCTGAGCAAATATTAAAAGATATATATAATATACAGTACTAACAATTGATATCTTATACTTATATCATATAAAGGGTGTCCTGCATCTTATAATTCACTTAAGATTGAGAGATATTTAAAATAGCCAAGTTTGATATGTGTCCAGAAGCCATAACACTGTATAAAACAGGAGGAAAGTATGTAGTCAATATGCAATTTATGTAAGTCTACTTAAATGAGTAAAGATGTAAAATTCAAGTCAAAATATTAAGTGACGATTGAATTTCCCGGCTATTTTTCATTCTGTTACATATTCTTGTCTAATTTATACATGTTTTTTAAAACAGAAATGGTATCATTTTGGTTTTTAAGCTCATTTTGAAAACAGCAAACTATATTTGAGATTTACCCTACCCCTTTTGGTACCCCAAGATATCCACTTTCGGGTAAAGTTTTACCTTAGTTTTTCCGCGTGTCAAACAATAGGACATCTTTGAACAAAATAAGGAAATCCGAATATACCGGGGCCCAAAAAGGGCCCTATAGACACTCATCCGTTCATATGCAGGTTTCCCTTGGTCCTTAGTTGTGCATGTTAACTTTGTGACTGCTCGAAGAAACAAAACGTCGGACAGATGGCCATCTTGGATATTGACAGTGAATATTGGTTATCGCTATTTCTCAGGAAAAACTGTAAGGATCTTTCTCAGATTTGATATATAGGCTCCCCTGGTCCTGTTTTTGCATATTCACTATTGAGACTGATCGGATAAGCAAAATGGCCCACAGACAGCCATCTTCGACTTTGACAGTTAAATGTTGTTATTGTAATTTCTCAGAAAGTACTTGATTCACTGGGTCCTTAGTTGTGAATGTTTTATTTTGAGAGTGATCATAAAAGCAAGATGGCTACACGAAGAACTTTCTCATATTGCAATGATCGGATCAATTTCTTTCACATTAAGTAATGTAATAGCAAATATGTAAAACAACAAACTCACTTTGAAAGTTGTCTTTTATTCACAGCAGTATTAAGTTTAGATCAAAGGTTACCTCAAGGTTTACATGACTCGATCAAACAGATAAGAGAAAGAAGAGAACAGATCAAACTGACATAAAATTAATGAAGAGCATACACTGGTTGGCGGCAAGATCCCTATGGTTTATCCTTGAGGAAAAACTAAAATATTTATATAACTGGCATCCAGATATCTATACAAGTTTTTATGTGACACCGTTCTAATTTCAAAGTCGCTTTGTAGCAATTTTAAACTGTAAGGATGCGGCTTTCAATATATGTATTTTCTGTACAGAGAAAAACAGTGTTTATAGATAGGGAAACACTTTGTAGATTCTAATAAACGTAATTCGACTGATCTTTTAAATTTGATGATGCTCTCTGGGATCACATGAATATATATTTCTGTCAATAATGGTGATATGTAACCCCTAAATGAAGATTACACATCACTAGTTTGCAAATGAGCGCAACGGTGCAATACAATTATTCACAATTTGTCCGTGTCCTGTTGTCCAGGTAGCTCTGTCGATTAGACGGATAGTACAACAATCTGATACCAATGGTCTAGCCCAGCTGTATTTTCCATCATACAAGACATGTTAGTTTTGGTTCTCGGAAATTATTTATCAAGGATTTGCCAGTGGTAAAAGTGGGATTCTTCAGCTTGTAAGTTTAGTTTATAGAAATGTCAATTTTGGACAGGTTTCTCATTCTCAAAAGGGCATACACATCATATACAAGGTGTGCGTCAACTGTGTGACAGATATGTTATTTTCTGTTTTAGGGGTCGGCGTATATATCAGTGCAGGTAACAGACTCTGACAGTGATGGACTGGCACCTGTAGATAATCTTTATCTAAATTTTACAAGTGACATACCTGGATTTAACTCCACTACAGACTTCAAGTCGACGTACACATTGAAGGGTCAGCGACCTCAACACCCTACCAGGTTAAACATCTATTGCAGATTACATACTTATGAACACTTATTATGTACATTTTGTAATATAAAAGATTTCATCACTAATTATTGATTTCGAAGGTTGCAGTGGACCTAAATACTTAACTAGAAATGTAAATAAGTCAAATTACCTGCTCTGGGTGCTTGATGTGATCCAAGAATTCTTTTTCAAATATACATAAATTGTAAAGGAATTTAAACCTTCCATTACTTTAAACTAAACTTCACTTTAAGGATGTACTCTTCTGAGGTTTCAATCACGTTCAAGTCTCGTTTTGATCTGGTGTAACGGGTTTTTGTAATATTTAACAAATTATGATCAAGTTTATAAGCAAACACGCATCTGAAAAATATGTCAAAAAACTAGATGCCTGTTGTTTGTAGAACTTATTTTACAAGAATTTAAAAAAAATACCAATTTGGCGGCCATTTTGAAAACGTGTATTAATGTGTATTTCTTGCGCTTCAAAAAAGTCCAACATTTCACCTTTTTTGACACTAGATTGATCACTTAAATTGTTATTGTGTCGCCATTTTTAATTGTAGCAGGTTCAATTTTGCTGTACAACTTTATAATGTTCAGTGTGATAATAATAATATGCAACAAACTGGAAAATTATACATTATTGTTTTTTTCTTACGTATTTATTGTGACTGAAGCACTTTTGATTTATGACTCCGAATAAAGTAAAGAAATAACGCAAATGATAATGGGACCAAAAAAGGAGCACACTGACCCCCCATTTTTGTAGATGTTTTAGAAAGAGAAACACATTTTCATTCAATTTATTAAATATAAAAAAAAGTTTAATACCAGATCTTTTTATATCAAGCGTTTAATCTGCAAAAAAATGGTAAAAAATGAGTATTTTTTCATTAAAAAATAGGGGGTAGGGGTAGCTAAAATCGGCTTTCTGAGTTAAATGAATAAGATTAAGAATTTTCCTTCCAGAATTTATACGAAAATAATATTTTCATCAATTCTATAAACATTCATACATATCTGATAACATACTTGGAAGAAATTTTATGAATTTGTTCTGAAAATGTTCAAAACCCCAAATATCACCTAGAATCTCGTGTTGTGTCAAATTGGTATCTTTGACCGATCATAGCACAAAAACGAACACACCGACATATATTTTGTTTGCATTTTCTACTATGCCATTAACTCATTTTTCCAAAAATCCATATAAGAAAAAAAGTTTAATACAGGAAATTTTTGACTTCTCAGAGTTGTACATCCATAATACATGGGTATCTAAAAAACTTGACCATGTACATTTATGTGTATCACTTGAAATACATTGTTTCAAACCAATAATTAATATGGACGAAATCACTCATGATTGATTATGACAAACTTCATATACATGTTCCTACCACATAATCATTAAAAATGATAAGTGACATATTTGTAATCTGTTATATATTTGTTGATATATGTGTATTTGCAGCCTATCATTGAAAGTGAAAGTGTACTGTGATCCACATTACTATGGCGATGACTGCTCTATCAACTGTGTGGCAGACAATGCATGTAACGGCCATTACACATGTGACAACAAGGGACGCAAGGTGTGCAACGATGGCTGGAAGGGAGACAACTGTGAGGTCATAATACAAGGGGGCCCAGCAGACTGCAGTGTGTATCAAGGTACTAAAAAGTGTTCCATTTTTATTTTAATTAATGGTACAAATATAAATTTCCATCCTGAATTTTACTTCGTGTGCAATTACAAAATGGGCAAAAATAGAAATGACTGAGAGATATTTTCCCTGTTCATCATATAAGATATGCATTGGTTTTGTGAGAGGTTCAAGATATAGTTTTTACGTAAAATCTGCTGGAAATGATGATTGTAGAAGGGAGTCACCACCCCACCTTTGGTATTTAACTGATTTGTGGCTTGCAAACTATATGTATAAAGTATATCTCCCAACTGCAAATAGTCCATAGTTTGTCTATCCATCTGTTAATCCTAACAGTTCCTTTAATCATTATTTCTCAAGAAAACTAGAATAGATCTTTATAAACTGCTCACGAAGGTTAGCCTAGGTCCATAGTTGTGCATATTTCAATTTAAGACTATTGGAAAAACAAGATGGTGGCAAGTTCGCCATTTTTGATTTTGACAGTTCAGTTTGTTGTTGCTATTTCTCAAGAAGCAGTCGTCAGATCTTTTTCATATATCATACTAAATATACAGGTTCTCCGTTGTCTGTAGTTCTGCATGTTCAATTTTGAGACTGAGCAGAAAAACAAGATGGCCATCAGGTAGCCATCTTTGATTTTGATAGTTCATTCTGTTATCACTATTTCTCAAGAAGTGCTTAACAGAACTATTTCAGATTCATATATAGATTTTCCTGGTATTATTTAAGTGAGTAATCTTCTTATTTTTTATTTGCATATTTCACTTTAAGATTGACTTTGCTTGAAAACTGAAAGTCTTTCTTATTCTATTTTTCTCTCTCACTGGACTGTTTTAATAAATAAGTCAAACATAGCATTATGAAGTTTTAATCAAAGTTACCTCAAAATGCATTTACTGTAAAGAAACAAAGAGAAAGATTAAACTTCAATAAAAAAATGAAAATCTTACGATTGTGAGCGAAAAGATCCCTCCGTGATCTGTTAGGTGCATGATGTTAGTCTGTTCCAGCAGTATCACTGGCGTACATACATGTATAATAAAAACAAACTAGCATATATTCAGAAATTCTTATATTTAGATTTCAGATAACCACACATTTTAAATTGTAAATAAATTTAAAATGTACTGCAATTTATTTATTGGTCAGAATCTTCGTGCTTTACTGAACGCGAATTGGTTAGTTACATCCATATTAAATTAAACCATTTTTACCAGCATGAATGTTAAATCAATCTGTTCATCCCCTTTGTGTTTTTGTATCCAGACAGGACAGAGTTTGTGCCAAGTGTATGGGAAGGTCAGTACCGATGTCCCGGGGAATCATCACAGGCCTTTGTCCTGAACGTCACACATTCCAGTGGCCTTATCACCACAGTAGGGGACATCACAATCCAATCCTTTGTCATCCCACTCTCCGGAACGTATGCCAGTTCTTTCAAGATACTGACCCTTCAGGGCCAAACGTTGGTGCCGAAGGACATAGGAGGGAGGAACCTCACAACGTTGGAGCTCAATCTGCAAGAGAAAGATCATGAGGCTATAGAAATGAAGGGCGACGTGTTGATAGACCAAGAAAAATGTCCTGTCCTTAATCTTACACGCACTAAGGGTAAGAATTTGATTGAGCAAGGCTTGGCTCTTTTTAATTAGGAATTCGATAGAATGTATAATATACATGCGCTAAGTGTATGAAACTTGAATGAACTGGACTCTTTTGATAAGTGTACATGTGCGTTCACTGTACATGGTAAAATCTTGATGGGACTGAACTTGTGTAACTAACATACATTGTTGGGCGGGACTTGTTTATATAATGTACACACACTTTATATGAACTTCGTTTAACCTTTTTTAATGTTCATGTATAAAGTTTAAGTTTAGGAATGTCAACGGTTATCCGATTAATTGGTTACTTGATTGGAAGACCAAGAACCAGTTACAAAATTCAATATAAACCAAATAGTAGCCGCTTTTTAAAAACACATCCATGATTACCTACATAAGACCTAACAATATATCCAACGATGAGCAAATGAAGACTAATTATTATGCACAGCCTAAGCTGTAAATATTGTTTTTGAACTCGAATATAAAGAGATGCCACCAGCTATGTCTAAACTGGGAATATCTGAAAAGATAGCTCACAATTCCAGGCAAGGCAGCAATCTTGGATTCAGAGTTTGACGTTGTTGTCGTTATTTCTCTAGACCTTCAACAAGTGCTTGAAATATCAATCTCAAAGATGGCCCCGGTCAATTTTAGTTTTTGAGAGTTCTAGTTTGTTATCACTATTTCACAGGAAGTACATGACAATTCTTTCTTAAATTTCATATGTTAATTTCCCATTGTCCATTTTTGTGTATGTTTTGATTTTTGGACTGATTAGGAAAGACAATTGGCGGTCTTTGATTTTGAGGGTTCAAGTTTCTTAAAAAATGAAGCAATGACCTCACTTTGAAAGGACACTCAGCGGTTAAAAGTTTTTATCAAAAGTTACCACAAGATGCATTTACTATAAACATAATTATTAATCTAACAGAAAAGAAAAAAAGATGAATAATGAAGAGAAACTAATCAAACTTAATGAAGATCTTACGACGGTGGTCACTTAGTTGATTTTCCCTGAACTATCGTCTGGAGCGTTTTGTACTGCATGATATATATACACAGGTATTAGTTCTGTCATTTGATTGCCAAGACAGTCAACAAATGAAACATAATCCCACCTCATTTATATTTAAGCAGCTTACAAGTTGAACTACCGACTGTTGATGCTAACAGGTTTATTGTTAATCAAGTAATCTTTTTGTCTTCAGCTTACTTCGATGGCTGTTATGTGCAGGGCACTTGTGTGAGATATGGCATTCAGAAGGACCAGTTCTACTGCTGCTGTAATGATGGTAATTGATCTAGTTAATGTTGGAAGTCTATTTAATAGTTCAATAAGAAGAAAATGATATACAATTTGCTTAATGTGGTGATTTCTGCCACAGAGACAATACTATGGAGATTACATCTTTGTAGATCCTTCCTTACATCAGCAATATCTATATATTTCTTTCAATTTTCTGATTGGTACCTCTAGCTGAAATATGGTCAGTTTTGTTCGTGTTTAAAAACAGTTTAATTTCACCGAATAACAGGGAATACAATAGATTTTGATACATAACAATGTCCCTTCAGATTTTACATTATACTTTATATGAAATTGCTTACATTCTTTGTACATCCTGCAACTTTGGACATTATTTTAGCCAACTGTCATCAGATTGGGAACCATGTCTATCACTCTGTCTGTTAATAAAAAAACAATCTTGTTGCCCTTATTTCACAGAGAGAACATATAATGGAGAGATTATTTCAAAGGACCTGTTACAGGAACAAGAGAATTTTGCCCACAAAGCAATTTAAGCATTACTGGGTTATATTTGTAGCTCCCTAAGACACGACCCATGAGATATTTTTGAAAAATTAAAAAGGTCCCCAGGGCCTGTGCTATGAACTATTTAGTGCCGCCTTCCAAAGGTGTACGACAGGGTTCACTTTTTTATCCAAAAAACTATCAAAACGATGTTTTACGCTCTCAAATAATATTAAATTATTTAAAGTAGGATCTGCTGCAAATTATGAACTCAAATATGTAACAAATAATTTGCATAATAAAAAAGTTGTAAAATATTAAACTCTAAAAATGTTGGTATTTTCATTTACTGTTTTGCTACATCAATTGTTTTACGGAATTAAACACCAATTTCCGGTTCTTGTACACAAAAAATCTTTCAATATTATTTGGTGCATTTTGTTGAGATATGATAGCGAAAATTTTAAATAATATTATTTGATAGCGTTAAACATTGTTTTGATAGTTTTTTATCCCCAGCGTAAAACATTGTTTTGATAGTTTTTTGGATAAAAAAGTGAACCCTGTCGAACACCTTTGGAAGGCGGCACTAAATAGTACATAGCACAGGCCCTGGGGACCTTAATATTTTTAAAAAATATCTCATGGGTCGTGTCGTGTCAAATATAACCCAGTAATGGTTAAATTGCTTTGAAGGCAAAATTCTTTTGTTCCTGTAACAGGTCCTTTCACATCAAGGTTTTTTCTTTACAGCAAACATTTATTAAAAAAATAAATAAATAGTGTTATTGAATTGGAAGGGCGAATTTAATAATGGATTTTACTTTCAAAGGGCGAAAATTAAACCGGTCGAAAATTTCCCGATATGCAGTATTTTTTAAAAATTCATTCAGTGATCTTTCTTAAATTTCACTGGAAGGTTGCTCTTAAGGTCTCTAGTTCATTTTTACAATTTGGTATGGATTGAAAGACCAAAATTGCCAACAGGTCGCCATCTTGAATTTTGAGAGTAAGAGGTTGTTAGCGCTATTTCTCAGAAAGTCTATCAAATATCACATAAATGTTGCCATTGGTCCTTCACTGTGAATTTTTCATTTTGATACTGATGAGAATAATCGAGACGTCGACCAGACAGTCATCTGGGATATTAAGGGTTTAATCTTGTTGTCAATATTTCTAAGGAAGTACAGGACAGATCTTTATCAAATTTCATATGTTGATTTTCATAGGTCCTTAGGTTGTGCAATATCGTTTCATTTTAAGTCTGTCCAGAAAAGAATTGACGATTTAAGTTTGTTATCCCTATTTCCAAATAAGTTTATAGGACAAATCCTTCCAAAATTTGAAATTGAGGTTTCCCATGTCACGTGTTAAGTACTGGGCTTGTAAATTGGTTAAACGGCAATCTCAGTCTGAAATAGCAATATCATACACAGCAGGAAGAAGTTTGATCGAAAGTTCCAAAAAGGTGCTTTACTGTTTACATGATCTAATCCATTTGATAAGTGGGGAGAAAAAAATCAGTGTTACATAGACCCTGTGAAGTATGAGGATTAGCAGATCAGGATTGAAAGCAGACAGTCTTGTTGAATACGACTTTACTGATTGTTTATAAGAGTGTCTTCATCAAAATGTTACATTGATATTGTGTAAAACTTTAGAACAAAATGAAAAGCTTCATTTACTGTTTATATTGTATTTCAGGTAACTCTTGCCCAAAAGCAACAAAGAAACCTCCAACCACCCAAACAACTAAAGCAACCAAATCAACAACTAAACCTACCACAACAACAAATAAACCAACAACACCAACAACTAAACCAACCACATCCACAACTAAACCTACAACACCCACAACTAAACCAACCACATCTACAACTAAACCAACAACACCAACAACTAAACCTACCACACCGACAACTAAACCAACCACACCAACAACTAAACCTACCACACCGACAACTAAACCTACCACACCAACAACTAAACATAACACACCAACAACTAAACCTAACACACCGACAAATAAACCAACCACACCGACAACTAAACCAACCACACCAACAACTAAACCTACCACACCGACAACTAAACCAACAACACCAACAACTAACCCTACCACACCGACAACTAACCCTACCACACCAACAACTAAACATAACACACCAACAACTAACCCTAACACACCGACAAATAAACCAACCACACAGACAACTAAACCAACCACACCAACAACTAAACCAACCACACCAACATCTTCAATATCTGGACCAACTACCACTGAGCCTATTACTACTGTTACACAAAGTCCTACCACAAAGACAACCCATGGGCCCAGTACTGCAGCTTCCACCACTTCAACCACGCTTCCACCTTCGACTTCAACTCCTACCACCCCAATCACACTGCCACCTTCAACTTCAACTCCTACCACTTCAACCGCACTGCCACCATCAACTTCTACTAAAGCTCCTACCACCTCAACGAAGTTACCACCATCAGATACAACTCCTACCACCTCAATCACACGTCTACCATCAACTTCTACTAAAGCTCCTACCGCCTCAATGACGCTGCCACCATCAGCTACAACTCCTACCACCTCGATCGCACGTCTACCATCAACTTCTACTAAAGCTCCTACCGCCTCAACGACGCTGCCACCATCATCTTCCTCCAACGCAGCTACCACTTCTACTCCAGGGAGCCCAAGCAGCTCTGCTCCACCATTTACTTTTAAGAACGTCACTCAGCAGCTATATCTTGAGCTCGTGGCAGAGGAGCGAGACACCTTCATTACCATGGGCATCATAATGGCATGGACACAAATCAATACAGGTACAGTCAACTGTTAATATTTTATTTTGAAGGCGTTGGTCACGTAATTCAGCATTAACCAATGCATGCTCCCAACCTTGGCCGAAAGGGTCATGCTTGAGAGTTGTAATTCTCATTTCACGTGTCTTGGTGACTTGGGCGATACTGTAGTTTTATGTGAACTGAACTTTTTTTCTCACTTAACTTTGAGTACATGCAAATGTTGCTTTTTAAACACTTAAATCACTGAAAGGAACATTAAATTTGATGATATTAGTTTTGGAACCCTTGGTCCTTCTTGTTTACGTCTTTAAAGAAAAATAATGCTGATCAAATAATTAGATGAATGCCTTTCACAATATTCAGGACGAAAAGAATGTAAACTACTATGACTACTATGTCATCAATGTGTCAACCTGTGCTCTATTTTAACCTTGGCTAAGCATACCTTTAATATGAGATAGAAATGTGTGTGATACAGGAAGAACCTTTCGTAAGTATAGTAGTTTTTACTATTGGTTTTTATGTTGTTAAAATATACTTTATTTCATTTTCAAATCATCTTTCATCGATGGTCTGTCGTCCGTCATTCCGTCTGCTTAAATATTTCTTGTAATCACCATTTCTCATGGGGTACAGCAGGGATCTATATCATAATTATAGTTAGAGGTTGTTTTTGCAATTTCTCAGAATGCAGGGATCCTTCTCAAATATCACATAGGGGTTCCCCATGTCCCTGGATCAGGTAACCAGAAGGTCTGACCGGTGCCAATCTTGAATTATGAGAATTAAGAACTTGTTAGTGCTACTGTTCAGAAAGTCTATCAGGAACCTATTGCGTATTTTACATGAAGCCCCATTGGGACTGATTAGAAAACCGAGATGGCAGACAGGTGGCCATATTGAGATGTAAGAAAACTAGCACTTTTTCTCGGAGAGAACTGGAGGGATCTTTCTTAAACTTACCACGTAGATTCTCTATTTCAGTGTTTGTCGTAATCCATCTTTCATTTTGAAAATGATAGGAAAAACAGGATAACAAACAGACAGACATTGTAATTTTGGGAATAAGAGTATACCTGCACTATTATATTTATCCAGGTATAGATTTCACAACGATTTTCTGTTTTCAGTCTCCATTCAGGTCAACAATATAACTGTGCAGGCTGTGACCTCTTTTCAGGCTGTTGGGGAGAATGGGTAAGACAATTTCTGCAGTAATTTTACAGATGTTTGAATGAAACGTTTGAATATTGTCTTTTTTAAGTATGAACATTTCTGTATTTTCTGTTACTGTATATTTTAGAAAGAATATGTTGAATATCATTCGATGAAATCATGTTGTAACTTACAGAATTTTATAAATGTATGAAATGTTTGACTGTCTGAAATGCATGAATGATTGTTTATTGTATAATTATTTATATTGTATTTTTAGCCCGTTGTGCTGTCAAATAACCCTTTGTCTGTGATCTGTGATCAATTGTTTTATAATTACTGTTAGCATTATTTCTCAGAAAGTACATGATTAATCTTCTTAAACCTCAAATATATGTTCCCTGGGTGCAAATTTTTGCATATCGAATGTTGGAACTGATCCGAATATCAAGATAGTTGACAGGTGGATACTTGAATTTTAGGAATTAAAGATTTTATTAGCGATATTCCTTAGTAGTGCTGGAGGGATCTTTTTCTAGTTTCACATATATGCTCCCTATCGTTTCTATCGGTACATATGTTGAGTTTTGAAACAGATCAGAAACTCAAGAGGGCTAACAGGTCGCCATTTTGAATTTTGCTAAAGATGTTTCTCAAACTGTACTTGAAGTTTCCAAGTGGTTCGTAATAATTTTACGCATCAATATTTCTCTTTCATCTCTTGCTAGAAAGAAAACTTTCAACATCATCGGATTAAAATTATTTTATACGTCAAACAAATTAATAAATATACATTAATTATTGTATTATGATCACAATTATTTTTCTTGTGTTTCTGATCATCCTTAAAAACATTTCAGCGTGGAAGTTTGTGCAGTCTTTGTGAATATGACAGTACCGTATACAGCAAAGAAACCAACCTCTGACATGATTGTGTCCAAGATGCAGGTATTAGCCAACTCGTCCTTAATCAGGCTGTATACAGGACCTACTAACAATCTAGCTCTATACAAAATGGACTATGCTCTAACGTTTACATTGGAGGGAACAATGCCACAAAATTGGCTCAAGAGTCAGTGGGAGACAGCCATCTTGAGTGCTCTCAACAAGAGCTGTGGTGAGTATTGATATGTTCAAGGACCAGTAGCTGTAGTGATTATTGTTACTGCTTTTCCCTCAAAAGTAACGTACGTACCAGGTAATTAAATAAAAAGCTATGGGAATATCCCCTAGGTAACATTATGAATATTAGTTTAATAATTGTTTGTTAAATGATCTGGATTATGTTGGTGTTGTCAAAAAATGTATTGGAGATTTTATAGATATATATGCTACTAATCCTGAAGAGGAAGATATAAACCTTATTACCTTTTCAATAAGTGATAAATTGCTATGGGAGACTTTAAAATTAATGATTAGAGGGAAAACTATTGCTTACTCATTATATAAAAAAACGGGAAAGAGATAAATTAGAAAAGGATCTAGAATTAAATTTGGAATAATTACAGCAGGAAGAAGATAGGCAGTTGGGGGCTATTGAAGAAGTAGAAAATGAGTTAAAGTTGATTAGAGACTGTAAAATTAAAGGAATTGTTTTGAGAGCAAAAGCAAGATGGAAAGTTGAAGGTGAACGGAGTTCCAGGTTGTTTTGCAATTTAGAAAAAGACATTATTAAGAAAAGTTAATTCCAAAGCTTATAACAGAAACTGGCGAAGAAATAACAGATATACAAGACATTTTAGGAGAACAGAAAAAAATCTATCAGACACTCTATACTAGCTCATACACAAATGATAATGAAGCGAATGACTTTTTTTTGATAATGACAATCCCTTTATAAATAAACTGTCCCTGGAACAAAGTAACCAGTTAGAAGGAAAAATACATCACCAGAAATGTCTTAAATCCCTAAAAAGTATGACCAATAATAAATCTCCTGGAATAGATGGATTTACTGTAGAATTTTACAAGTTTTTTTGCACAGATATCAATAGGTTTTTAATTAATTCACTTAATCAAGCATATGACAAGGGACTTCTATCTATAACACAACGTCAAGGTATGATTGCATGTATTCCGAAAGAAGGTAAATCTAAATTATATGTAAAAAAATTGAGGCCTATTACCTTACTTGATGATGACTACAAAATTGTTTCTTCAGTTACATTTTGTATTTCAAATATAATTAAAACAGTTTTAAACAGTATAATAAGTGAAACACAAAAAGGCTTCCTCAAAGGAAGATATATTGGAGAATGCACTAGGCTAATTTATGATTAATAGAAAACACTGAAAAAGAAAATTTCCCTGGATTATTGTTACTAATAGATTTTTAGAAAGCCTTCGACTCTCTAGAGTTTAATTTTATCTTTAAAACGCTTTCCTTTTACGGCTTTGGTCCTTCTCTTTTACAATGGATAAAAACTTTCTATAATGATAATTCATGTTGTGTAATAAACAATGAACACTGCTCCATTTTTTTAATGTATGCAGTGAAGCTAGACAAGGCGACCCTATCAGTCCATATATCTTCATCCTATGTGTAGAAATGTTAAGTTCAGCAATAAAAGTAAATCCTAATATTAAGGGTATTAAAGTAAATAATTCAGAATACTTGATAAATCAATTTGCAGATGACACTTCCTTTACTTTATCGGATGATCCATATTCCTCAAATTCTGTTCTTGAAATTTTAGATGATTTTGGTAATGTTTCTGGTCTTAAGATAAATATAGAAANCTAAATGATTGGTCATTTAGAAACCTTACATATATTGGCAAAGTAACTGTTATAAAAACTTTAGCTCTGCCCATTTTTATTCAAACATTTACTGTCTTACCAGACCCACCCTTAGAAATGTTCAAAGAGCTACAGAAATATTTCTTTGAATTTTTATGGAACGAAAAGGTAGACAAAGTAAAACGTACAGTTATGTATGGGGATTATAATGAGGGAGGTTTACGTGTACCACACATTATATCTTTTTGTCATGCCTTAAAAATGTGCTGGATTAAAAAAATATTGGATCCATTAAATACTTGGAAGACACTGATATTATATAAAATTGAACCATATGGGGGAGATAAAGTCTTAAAAATGAAAAAAGAAGGGCTGTTAAAAATTTCCAAATTCTTAAATGTCTTTTGGAGAGAAATATTCACTATATGGAGTTAACTGGTGATGACCTCACCACAACCCCAGACACTGTTGCTTCCCAGCCGATCTGGTATAATAACTTAAAATTAAAATTGATAATAAGATTTTTATTTATAAACATTGGTGTGAAAAAGACATTTTTTTATTGGGGATCTTGTTGAATACAATAGTTTTTTAACACATGAACACCAAGGTCATGGAAACTAATTTTATTTCATAGAAATGAACCAATTGAGGCAAAACAAAGTAAATTTGTTCAGTATTTGAAGAAACATGAAAAGGTTACAAACTATTTTATAAATTTATGCTGAAATCAGTGACAGAAATACCAAAGAAAAGTCAAGATATATTTGTGCAAATTAAGGAGGAAAAAGTAGAAGAGTGTGGACTTGATACATATTCAAATAAAAAAAAGATTATGATAAATCAAAAATGGAATTTCATTGACAGAATCTTAAATATGGATACATGATTGGAGTTGCAAGCATTTTTTTTCTCTCTTTTTTTTCTCTCTTTTGGTTTGTTTGGATACAATCTTCAGAGTTAAATCAGTCATGAAATATGTCAAAATTAATGTAGCAGTATGATTTTTTTTTATATTTGTAATTGTTGTAATAAAGTTTTATAGATGAACGTTCTGTTCAAAGATATAGATACCATACGTACAGTGGCCTTTCATTATTCTTACTGATATTTAAATGTTTTTGTATGTTTTGAATGTGACAACAACAAAAAATGAATAAAATGAATACGTTTGTTTGCATAATTGAAATGAAAGGACAATCTTTCGGGTAAAGTGCTGTGAACACATACTGAGGAAAATTATGTTGGTCCTTGTATCAGTATATAATCTTTCAGATCTCACAAAATTGGTACAAAAAAAATTGTTGTAACATATTGAAAACAAACCAACCACACGAGTGACCCCCCCAATATCACGTGGTCTCAAGCACAGTAATTCTACTTGAAACAACTTTGCAAGAAAACTAAGACGATTGTCTGTACATGGAGAATATCTTTTACATCTTGAGCGTAAAAATCTGTTAATATACCTTCACTTTTGCCAATACATGGAACGATAATGTTCAGAGGATCATGATCAAACCCCAGATTCGCCAATGAACCACGGAGTATGTGGACAGGGCGATTCACAAAATTTCGGCCAACTGCGATGACATTTGACACAAATTAATGCGTCTCGTAACCATCAGCGGCCCCATACTCACAGGTAGCCTCAACACATTGAGCATGGATAGAATTAATGTGGTGTCTTCATTATCAAATAAACATTTCACATAAAATAGCTTTACTAGTGCATGCCTTATGTAGTTTCTAAATGATTCAAATTACATAGAGAAACTCACAGGTAGCCTCAACACATTGAGCATGGATAGAATTAATGTGGTGTCTTCATTATCAAATAAACATTTCACATAAAATAGCTTTACTAGTGCATGCCTTATGTAGTTTCTAAATGATTCAAATTACATAGAGAAACTCACAGGTAGCCTCAACACATTGAGCATGGATAGAATTAATGTGGTGTCTTCATTATCAAATAAACATTTCACATAAAATAGCTTTACTAGTGCATGCCTTATGTAGTTTCTAAATGATTCAAATTACATAGAGAAAAAAACATTACTAGGACATTAATAAAAACAAAGTAAAATTGATATATATTACCTAAGGATTGCTCTTGTGAGTATAGCCTTGTTCCCGGCTCTAAACATAAGCTGTGTTTGATGTTATAGCCTTGTTCCCGGCTCTAAACATTAGCCATGTTTGATAGTATAGCCTTGTTCCCGGCTCTAAACATTAGCCGTGTTTGATGTTATAGCCTTGTTCCCGGCTCTAAACATTAGCTGTGTTTGATAGTGCGACATAAATTGCTTTTGTGCTTACCACTACGTGTAAAATCAACGACGATGAGTATATTTTGTAGTTTGTTAGTTAATATTAAAGTTCAAATCATGAACTAAAATATATGGAGTAGTACATGTTATCCACTGGATGTTTTATCCCCTTGTTTTGTTAAAATTTTAGTCTTTTTTTTATAGACATTTTACTTTACTAAAGGAAATGGAGCGAGGTCAGTTAGAACTATCTTAAACTGTAAAAATTTAAGTAGCATGTTTCAGCAGAAAAAGAAGACTTATCTTATATGTTCTTGGAGAAATTGAAGTGTTATAGTCTGTGGAACTGTTTATGTCACATTGAGACATAAAGTTGTTCTATATTTATTACTTCTCTGTTGTTCAGATATTCAAGCCTGTGTGTCCCTCGCCAATACTGTTATCAACATGAAGAAGATGGAGGAACTTGTGGGACCAAGAGGGTAAGCTTTGTTCCTTTGCCTGTCGAAACATTAGTGTAGACATGTTACCACCATTTTTGTTCTTTTGTGAAAGAACATTTTTAGGGAAATTTATACGGTTATTCAAACCTTAGCTGTATTTGTGAAAACAATACGAAAAAGTTAGGGCAAAGGCAATTAAATCTTTGGTAAGAAGGGAAAACAGAACTAAACTTTACGTTTGATTGGTAGAAATGATAGTGTATCAAAGAAGACTGATATTTAAGGCATTTGTTTTTGAAAGGGTTATGATATTTTATTGATCATGACGTTTTTGGCTCAAATGGTGGGTTCTTCATCAATTTGAATGAGACTTGCAGGATAAGTTTTGTTACTTTCTCATCATAGTGTGTTTCCATTGTAGCATGGAGCTAACCAAGGTGTACTTCTTTGTTGAGAGAGATGGGAATCCTTTAATGTCACTAACTGTTGATACTTCGGCCACTCTCAGCATTGACTATGTGTCTGCATTCACATCTGCTGGTCTGACAGGGGTTAAGGTCCACACCGGATGGGGAGGCACACCGTACAGGTTCCATTACACCTTACTGGTCGAGGGAACAGTGTTCAATGAGGACCTGCCCAAGTTTACATCTCTCCTAGAAAAAGTCTGGGCCACGGAATATCCAGGTAACACTGGAAAACTGCTGAACACATATATTTCTCATAATACTGTATTTGCAGGCTGGATAAAGTTATTAAATATACACCCAACAAGTTTTATGCTTAAAGAGTTAGGATTGTTGCTAATTAATGTGGTATACAATTTAAATGATGCTTATTTGTTTTTGGAAGTTGGTCAAGATAATGATCTTAAATATGAAAAGTTAAAGGATTGCACGCTCTCATACTTGTCAAGAAGCTGTCAACAGACATAGGGCTATATAAAACTTCCTTTCTATGAATGAACATTGGTTTAACAATGTTTAAGCAGATTAAATATTTGTTTGTTTGCTGCATGCGGAGGCTTTCAAAAACTGAAGAAAGTTAAGTTAATTTCTTTTAAAATTGCCAATTTCCAACTAAAAGACGCACAACAGACGATATTCACGCATTTTATTGTGAAATTGCGGGTTTATGTCTCTGTTTGTAATGCCATATCTCCTAAACCAGATGTCGAATGAATTTGAAATTTCATACTTGCGTACTTCATTTATTCCAGATTACGCATATAACAACTAATTTTAAATTAATAATGAGGCCAGAAATTACCCTTAATGCCCTTAGTCCTTTCGGGACTGATCGCAAAAACAAGATGGCCGACAGGCAGCCATCTTGAATTGTAGAGTAAAAGTTTGTTAGTGCTATTTCTTAGAAAATCCTAAAAGGATTGTTGTAGCTTTCATATGACGAGTTCCCATGGTCCCTTGTTTATACATATCGAATTTTGGGACTGATCCCAAAACCAAAATGATCGATAGGCAGCTATATTGAATTTGAGAGTAAAGCGCACTTCTGAAAAAGAACTGGAGAGATCTTTTTCAAATTTGAGTTGTAGGTTTCCCTTGATCCATACTTGTGCATGTATAATTTTAAGACTGATCGGATACAAACAGGCCTACAGGCAGCTATCTTGGATTTCGACAGAAAATGTTTGTTATCGCTATTTCTCAGTAAAAACCAGAAGGATCTTTCTCAAATTGCAATAATCAGTTCTATTTCGTTCACATATTAAATATATCAAACGACAAACTCATTTTGAATGTTGTATTTTATACACAGCAGTATGAAGTTAAGATCAAAAGTTATCACAAGGTGCATATACTGTTTACATAACTCTATCAAACAGATGAGAGAAAAGAAGAGAAAAGATCAAAATGACATGAAACTCATGAAAATGTTATAATGGTAGGCGTCAAGATCCTTCGTGAATCTCTTGTTACTGCTAAAAACAAGTAACAATAATATCATTATCAATTAATTCTTGAACATATTTGAGTGTCATCGGACAGGTTTATATCTCAACTATCAAATCTTGGAAATGAGTGTCAAGGGATTTTCATTCAGTCCTGAATAGCTTTGTAATAGTTAATGGATGTTAAACATGTATCCGTTGTTTTTTACAGCCAAGTACAAAGATTGTGGTATATGTAACATCACCATAGCTCGACTGGAGCAGTACACTGGGGACAATGGGTAAGTGTGGCTCAGTCCAGAAATACACTGGGGACAATTGGCAAGTGTGGCTCAGTCCAGCAGTACACTGGGGACAATTGGTAAGTGTGGCTCAGTCCAGCAATACACTGGGGACAATGGGTAAGTGTGGCTCAGTCCAGCAGCAAACTGGGGACAATGGGTAAGTGTGGCTCAATCAAGCAGCACATTTGGGACAATTGGTAAGTGTGGCTTATTCCAGCAGTCGCTTGGGACAATGGGTATATGTGGCTCAGTCCAGCAGTACACTGGGGACAATGGGTAAGTGTGGCTCAGTCCAGCAGCAAATACATTGCAGTGTTCCTTGTTAACATTTTAAGGAAATGTAAAAAATACTCAGAGAATGGAGTAGATTTAAACACGAAATTATTGTTGTGTTGTGTCTAGAATTTCCCCCTGACATCATGTGTTACTTGTGACAAGATATCACGGATCATGTCTCAAGTGTGACAATATATCACGGATCGTGTCTCAAGTGTGACAAGATATCACGGATCGTGTCTCAAGTGTGACTTCCCTGCCTTAGGTGCAAGAAGATAGTGGTTTGTCTCCAGTACATTGAGTACGATTCCTAACTTTGAAAGCATACAAGTGGTATACACAGAGTCCCAAGTGACAACAAAATTGGACAGGTACTTTTTAAAGAAATAGAAGCTTTTGAACAAAGCTTCCTCGATGTCTGTTTAAAAATATATGTCCAATCTTTGTAGTTTAAATCTGTTCCTGTTGCAAAGTTCCTGATTCCCTGGCCGATTCTAAAAGCAAAGTGAATTCAAAAACTGTTTTGCTTCAAGAGGTTTATTAAATGGTTAAAACCAATGAGAAATATTGTTAGTAAAAGTGTATTACCCGATTTATGACTTCTGTGTGTTTATTTTAACATTCATTATGTAGCCTTTCAGTACCAGTTAGTGCGAGTTGCATCCCCTAATATATTGAGTTTGATTGTCTAATGTGCGAACCTGTTATAACGATGGTCCCTTCTACATCATACATGTTAGTTTACCGTATTTGTTTTCAATTCTGAATGCATAGAAAGAAAATGCTTACGGTATATTAGTTCATGCTTTGAGTCAGCATTATAATGTATCAATATCTTTAATTTGTGTTTTATAGCACCCTGGTGACAGCCTTAGTTTACTTGTACTACCTGCGCTTTACGATCCAGTTCCCCCTGCTGGTACCTCCTCCTCCAGTAGCACAGATCAACAGCAGTATGACCTTGATGAACCGTGACCACTCCCCCTACACATTGTACATGGGGTCAGATGTGTTTAGGTACACTCACCACTACAGTGTCCTCATCACTGGTCAGGTTGACCTACCGGCTGACTTGACACTCCTACAGTCCTTACTGACCACTGCCTGGACAAACTGGACACAAACTAACAAAGGTAAGGCCAGTGACAATACTCTCTTCAGATATTTACTTTCAAAGAAACGCCATACTCAACGTTTACCATTCTCATTGAACTTTAAGTGTAATGATCATAACGCAAAGCATCTAGATGGAAACCAACTTAGCTACCTGCGTCATGATTGACCCAGTCAAGTTTGGCTACATTGATATGTTCTTTAGAACCCTACTGATTCAGACACAAATTCACATTAAATTATCATAATTTGTAAAATATCATTTAACTTATATTCGTTTTTCTAGGGTCTTACCAAAATTTCCAGGGCTGGAACATGACAATTAAAGGCAGTGAATTATTCATCAGTCAGAATGGGTGAGTTGACAAAACAGCTAAGATTGCAGGCTCTATTGAAGATATATCAAACAGGTACCCCATGATCATTCATTCCATAGACATTGATTTCAATGAGAAGAAAGTAACATAATTATAATTAAATGCAATTAATTCCTTCACTGTAATGAATAGGTCTTGCTGATATTGAGATAATGAGGTGTTTTCTGTAATGTAAAAGTCTCATTCCTACAGAGAGACAAGGTGCTATAAAGTAATATGGTTTTTTTTTTTTTTAACTAAATCAATAATCCTCTCCTGTTTGTTTTTCTGCTATCGCTCAGTCTCTCCAAGGATTTTACACGAAGTCTTAATATCGTATCTGTGAGCGATTGAAATTACTGTAAATGAATTGCTTTAAGTTGACTTAAAATTAATGTGACAAAAGTGATAATGAGTCACACTAAAGGTTATCAATCTCAGTTGCTTTGAATAATGTAAATAACAACAAATTGATCCTACTGTGGGTGACAAAATTACCTGTGAGTATATATCTAAAGTTATTATGAGTGACATACGTAGCAGGACTAATGTTACCGAGGGTAAGAAAATAGTTGTTATAAGTGAATGAAGGACACAGTGGCGGGAACACACAACTTTAGATGAAGTGTAATTTGTGCACGATGTGCACAACATCTGGGAACGTTAAAAACTGGACGAAATGAAACTTAAGTACTGTATATTGTACCAAACGAAGAGCCGATTGATGGGTGGGGCAAAACGAGTTTGAAACGGTTGAGATCACTACCCAGTTACAATGATATTTATAATTTAAATACACATGCGCATATGCTAGCTGGCCCAGTTATGTTGTCCGACCGTAACTACTTAGTCTCTAGGTCATAATTTGAACAGGTTGATATCTCCACCCTATAACCAAATATAAAATTGCTTGGAATAGAGAAAATCACAATCATGATAACAAAATTGATCCCTGGGTCTGGCCACAGACTTCATGTCTAGGTCACAACTTTGAATCATTTACAATCCCCACCTTACGATCATATAAGATATTGTAAAGAAAGAGACAAACACAAATGTGCCACCGGGATGGCACAAGTGTGTTAAATGTCCCACCCCTGCAGGATTTGTTTCTAGATTAGAACATGGAGACAGTTTAGATCCCAACCCAATAACCATATATACAATTAATTGGTATAAAGAAACAAATGTACATGTGCTACCAGGATTGCCGGAGGTTGAAACACCCTTTCAGACTAAGTGTCATTGTAGGACACAGTTTTGTTGCTACGGTAGGGTATCTACGCATGCGCGGTGAAAAAAGTAACCAAAATAATGTTCAAAACAGAAATTTATAAATAAATCAAGCTAAATGCTTTGTTTTTTATAAGCCCAAAAATGGCCAATAATGCCTCAAGAAATGGTTGGGAAATCCCCACCCAATTACAATATATACAGTTGTTTATCATAAAGGGAAATCACATTCATTATTACTGAAATGACTCTGGGGTCTTGCGATATCCCTATGGACCAAGTATCTGGGTCACAACTTTAAAACAGCGCAGAACCGTCCCCAATTTGTGTAAAAAAAAACCTTCCATGACAGCCTCAGGGTGTTAACCCATCCCTGGAGCGTAGTTTTGGTATCATAACATTAAAATGATTGATAGGCAATATCCATAACCATGGCATAAATTAACAAAAACAATTACACCACTGGCTTCTCCCATAGGGACTTGGTTTCTTGGTCACAACAGGTTGATATCCCTATCTGTAGCTATATTTATGATTGCTCAACATGAAGATTTGGATACACACATGCTACCTGGGTTTGGTTCAAGGTCAGGCCCTATAGCTGGGATCTTATTTACAATACAATTTTAACTTAGGTATTGAAAAACGCCATGGTGCTTAAATGTTCAAATTAGTTGTACATAGCCATTTGTCCCTCTTGATCTGACAGGACAGAAAAATGAAAAAAACGACTCAAGGGTCTCAATATATTGTATCAAACCTCTTTTCATAGCAAAACACATATCTTTGTTTATCCCCTCGCAACAAAAGTTTGAGGAGATATATGATTCAGTCCGTCAGTACGTACATACGTCTGTATCTCTGTATGTACGTATGTTAACTCCTTATCATCGATCTACCGACTTCAATTCAACGGAATTATAAATTATGAAACTCGATACAGGTGTATTTCCTCATACATATGTCACACAATGTGTAAATGCGAGGAGATTTGTATCATTTGTGATGCCTTGTTCTTCTAACAGTATTTAAGTGCCATCCATGGGTACTTTAATTGAATGCTAATATGTTTGTAAGGTGTATATTAAATATTTCACTTGTTTGTTGCAGGGAGTTTGTTACAAATCTGATCTGCTTCATCACCAGCAAAGACCAGGTGGTTGATTCCAGGGTTGTCATGGTGCCCACTTTGACCTGGTTGTCACAGGCCAGTAAGGATTGGCTTACCTTTAAGCACAGGAATGGAGAGCCATATAAAGTGTTCACATCTCACATACCTAGCGAGATGATTCGAGTGCAGGACACATTTGTAGTGTATATGAAGGGCTATGTTTACCACAGGGACATGTCAGCCATTCAAAGCCAAATTCAGAATGCATGGAATGATACGTTAACAGGTAATAATTATCATTTTTTGTGTGTGAAGTTTACAGTAAATAATCTAAAGACAAGTCAGTCTTGCAGAAAAGGATGGAATCATGCACTGTTGTTATGATGTCTTAACTGTAAATCTTAACGGTTATTTTATAAGATATGTAAATGACTTTAAACTATGAAAATGAAACTTACTGTATTAATGATGTTAATGCATTGATTGAAAATTATTATAGTGACATGGCTGGTTTCCTGCTTTCAGGGGCTATAGTAGAGGTGCTGAAGTCAATCATTTACACAAGAACAGTAGATGGGTAAGTTTTGTCCAGTGGCTACTATTTTATAAAATGTGATTAAGTTGAATTAAGTGAATCATAACCAGCTATTGATATGAGTAAGCAATAAATGAAAATAAAATAGAAAGATAGATAAATTGAAGATAAATGGAGAGTGAGAAGGCATGCCATACTAAGAGAGAGGATGATCATGTGTGTAGAGATACAAGGACACTGTTGATGTTGTTGTTAACAGGACAGAAGAGGTATTGACAGCCCTGCACTACAAACTGGTCAACTCCAGGACCAATGAGCTCTCGCTGGCCACACAATGGAGCGTGTCACAGAAGACTGCTGTATACCAGGGCATCATTTCGAACCTAACCAGCTTGATTACGAAGCGAACCTATACTGCAATTACTACTGATCTGTCCTCCTGGTTTGTGATGGACAGACATTTTGTTCTCTACTTCGCCAGCAGGCTTGGACAGTTTGACATTGACTTCAAGTTTAAATCAGCACTGAAAACTGCACTGGAGGTCAAATGGAAAGGTAGATTTACTAATAGTATTTATAATTTTGAAGGGAAATATTATGGTGTGGGAAGCGTATGTCCTTCCATCCACAATTTCATTTTCGCAAATTAAGTTAACTCAAACATCATTTTATTTTGACAAATCTTGATGTAATCAAGCACATATGTACAAAGACTGAGGCTTTGTTTTATGAAAATTATTCAATACGGTGCTGTGCTCTGATCGGGCACATCTACACTTTAGTTTCCACAAGATAACCTGCTAATATTAAATGATTATTTCGGATTCCAAAAGGCAGCAACTTGTCTATCGGCAGTTTATTGTTCATTTGGAACACCTCTAGAAGGCAGTTTTGCTTGATTGCAAGTCATGCTAATCTTTCATGAGATAAGAATACATTGAGTGCTTGTTCTTTAACATCTTCTAGAGACTGGTGTCGTTATAGCCAGGTTTTGCCAGATGCAAATGAATTATGATGTTGGCGTTGTATGACTATAATATCGGTAGGGGTGTTTTTTGTTTACCGTCTACCGTTTCCTCTGCGAAATTATTATTTTCGGCTGCACTTTGGGAATTTACTTGGGTCTAAATGTTGCTTGGAATGATAACGACACTCTTAACTGACTGCTCCTGGTCAGCCACTAACGTTTTGGTGCGAAGTAGCTGGTCAAGCAGTGACCAAACCGGTCAAACATTGCAATTAATTCCCGACTCCTTGTAAGATGATGAATGGCATTTGTGATGGCGACATGTTTCGGTGTGAGGATTTGTCTTCTGTTTTCTACGCCAATTGCAAAAAATGGGCTTACAATTATTGTCATTAGCGGGAATGGGAGGTGATCGTTTTGTTCGTTTGGTTGGCAGTTCCTATGATTATATGTTGCAGGAAAAATGGACAGACGATGTCCATTTTGTTTTTACATTTTCTCGGAGGAAACTTCAGAAGTCCTGTACATCTTTTCAATTAATAGTTTAATATTAGAGCTGCTTTTATCAGAACAACTGCATTATCATCCATATCTAGCACAGGGGCATCATTTCTCGTCAGCAGCCTTTCATGTATCAATAGCTCTCTGTATGATAATGCTACTTTAATAGACCAGCTCATTTTGAATGACAGGCGTTCCTTGAGAAGGTTAGTCGAGTTCCATAATTCCGTATAAGGTGTGCTTATATTGGTTCCCACTTTACCACATTAATATTGTATACAGAATATTTCTGTATATATCGGGAATATTGGTTAACTTGCACCCATGATGATTGGTAAAAAGTCCTTACTCATTGTTTAGCTGTGCAGTTCAGAATTTTCTTTTTCTTCTTCACTTTCCTCTTCTTTTGCTTCTGAGCTGCAGCGAGACAATCCAAAATGTTGATATGAAGGTTATGTTTAGTAACGTGATTTGTGGTATTTTCATTCAACGGTTATCGAATCACGCACTACAAATTTGAGTTTTTATTAGCTCATCATCCGGTTCCTTGCAGGCTTCCGTAGGTTTTCCTAAGCCTTATAAGTTGGAAGCTGGCAAAGTTTCTTACCTGTTTTATTTGCAAATCAGGAAATTCCTCCATTGAGGATTCCTTTCATGAGAGGATGTTGTCTGTACAGTATTTAAAAATCTGCCTGTATCGTCACTCTGTTTATCTATGTTATGCGAAGTTTTTGCTATGTTTTTTGTCCTTTTGATTTTCTTCGTGCAAGAAGATGCATGCCACTGGAAGGTTTGAGGTCTTCGTTTTTGAATACTTGAAAATTTTAGCGGCAATATTTGATTTTTGAACCATCTGAAAATGTTGCAGGTGCGCACCTTCTGACCATGTACTACAACCTATATGAAAGACTATTAACACATCTGCTATCAATAAAAAAAAATAGGTGGCCACAAAATCACGGCAGGATGATACTTATATTAAGAATAAGAATAAGAAAACATAACTAAAATATTAGATCTTTCCAATATTTAGTAAAACCCTTAATTCTAATAAAATTTGCTGGCCGTCCCTGAGTGAAGCATCACACTATCAACACTATTCTCTTTTACAGTAATCACTAGGAAAAGATGACCATGACAACGTCATGCTGGTATAACCGCTTTAATTCATGTTTACGTTGACTAATTTCAACACTCGATGCGTGTCGTCATCAGAACAAATTTAGATACAAAAAGGCAGATTTAAGTTTAAAATGCGATGCGTAACTTGGTAACAGTTATAAGAAGATTTTCTTGAATGGCGTCATACATTATGCACAATGAAATGACGTCATCAATAACGGCGAGGGCTGGCTTAAAATGCGGGAATGAATATTCAGTATTCATCGTACAAACTAAGATAGCAGTGAAGTCTACACATATAAAGAGAAAAAAATCCTTTGCGTTAGAATTAATAAAACAGTTACTAATTAAAAACAATACATTGAGATGGAAACATTGTAAATCATCTATAGACTATACAATAGTTTCAACATTAGCAAGATAAAATAATCAAACCTCAGATCCGTTCTTTATTTATGAATAATGCAACCTTGTGATGACACACTCGGAATAATCATAGTACAAGGTAAGTTTCATCGGCATTGTCTTCGACTATCCAGGTATGAATGAATGAACTGGACGTTGGATATCCCACCCCCGTATATCCTCTTTCAGGTTTAGTTTGGTAGTCCTCACCTTTTCACATCCCTGGTCTCTATTTGGACTGCATTCTGAATAAACCGTACCGACTTTATGATCAATAACACAGTCATGCAGCTGACTGACAAAAAATGATGTGGGGTGAGCTGTGGTGTTTTATATGTGTGCTGTCAACTTCAGGATAGAGTTAGTCCCAGCTTTTAGTAAGGCGAATGGAGTGTTTTCCTTTAGTTTCCTCAACTTAAAGTATGTTGAAGTGATGATAATTGATCTGTTGCACCCTGAATAATATTTTAAATTATTAATCTTTTTTCCTTTTTGTTTATTTGTCTGTGATCATAAATTTATTACTGCCTCAGATTGTGCTGCATAGTTGTGGAAGAATTTTCTTTTTCTTCAATGTCCACTATATCAGATTCAATGAGAGGTTCTCTAATAAGTGGAAAAGACAAGTACATAACGTGTAAGAGTGCTAACGTACCTATATTTAAAGTCATATTCGGTATACAGCATATGTGAATAACTTTTGTATTTCACTTTGTTTCAGATTACGACTTTTTCCAAGATCTGAAAATCCATGCAGCCTTTCAGGAGAAAGTTTACATAGGGACTAGGTAATTATTTTAAGGTCTGTGTATGTGCCAAGACAATGTGAGCTAGCACTAGCACGATTTATTTATAAAACTTACAACTTTTTTTGAAAGACCAAAATTCACAGGGTGATGAGGTTTGGCTAGTAGCATGCAGGGATGAAGGAATACCAATTTGTTAAACTGAATTACATTTTCAGATTTTCGTGGTCACAGGGGTCAAATGTGTTCAGACCTTTTAACAGGTTCTTTTGAATGACCAAGTCACAGGTAATGCTCTTTAGCTTAGCCTTGTTAAATCCATTTAGATGTATTTCATGTCTTTGATATTGGTCCAAACGTGGCAATGCCTTTGACTATTAGGATGATTTCATTTGTTTTTATTTCTGTTGCAATGGAGCCATAAATTATAGTTTGTGGACCATATTTCAAAAACATTTACATCCATACAAATCTAGTTGTGTAGTTTTTCCTTTTCATCTTTTTTTCTCTTATCAAAGAAATAACTATTCAAAGTTTGTTTCTTGAGCATAACTGAAGAACCATAAAAGATTACTTCATCAAGCGGCTAGTCACAAAGGTGACTTATTGCGATCATCATTTATCCGTTACCGTGCATTGTGCGTAAGGAATTATATTTCTTTTACTTCTTCTCAGAAACCGTAAGTCAGATTTTGGTGAAACTTGATGGTAAGCATCGGCCTTACGTGAGGATAAGAATCAATACTCAAGTAGGGCTGACAATCCAAGGGTGGAGGGGTTGGGCTATAAAGGGGCATTAGTGGAAAATATTTAAAAAACATCTCCTCTGAAACTCACATTTGGTTTTTAACCAACATTTCATGAAATGATCTTTAGATGACGAGGATCAGAATGAGCTGACACCTCTGGGAAGAGCCTCAGAAGGATAGTGAGCGCTGTACCTTTCACAATATTATTTTGATTTCTTCCCAAAATCTGTCTGTCAGCTTGTTATGATGAAACTGGTTGCCACGGTCAACCTGTGCTTTGACCATTGTCAAAGCGTGCTGTTACCATGGAAAAACTTCAGGTGACTGTTCTTTTGGCCATTAACCATGGTAAACTACGGTCAGTCACTTACTTTAGTGGTTTGATGTCTTTGTGTCACACGCTGTCTATCATTCTTTCCCCGCCTTCTATCCTTGCAACTTGGATTGTCTTTCACATTTCTCTTGGCGGGGATCTGAATGACTATATACTGGCCATATAATTTGCAGCAATTACATATTGTATATTGATTTTTATGATGTTTTTCCATATACATTTAAGTATCAATTACCAGCTTAAGTTCGATTTTGAATCATTGATCACAGCTATCCTGCATTTTTTCGAAAAGTTACCTTATTTCTGAGTAATAATCTTGAAATGATTCAATTTTCATGAAACTTTCTAACTGCCTTTAAAATCAAGTAATCATCCTGTTCTGATTTTGACCCAAAAGTACATGGTTGCAAGCAGGCACACACAACAAAAACACTATTGTGAAACTCCTGTTTGTCTTCTGTTTATTGATATTTTCATTTAAATAATATAAATGCCAATGTCTATAGAGTATATACATTGCTGTTTTTGTTGGATGCAGGTCAGTGTGGAGAGTTGTCTTCTTCCTGAAATCCTCGGAAAGGGAAGTCATCAACCCCTTGTGGGTGGCCCCTATAACTGAACACATAGTTAATAAAAGCCTATCCATCACCAGTCTTGAAGGCAATACATATGACCTCTACCTAGGCCAAAGATCAGCAAACCTGTTCCTTTATAGGTCACATTTTCACCTGACCTTCACTCAGGAGGTGTCCCGGATTGATTACGTCAGGATTACAAATGACCTCCAAACGTTATGGTGTAATAACACACAAGGTAGTACAACTTTGCCTGTTTAGCTCTTTGGTAAGATGCTTCTATACAAAGTTTTTGCATGGATATCAAGACAGATTAAGAAAGCAAATATGGTTATTGATTTCAAAGATATTAAATCTGCTATGCATTTACCACTATAATGAAGTGTTTGTATTATCAGATATTGTTTATAGTGAAAATTGTGTTAATCGTTTGTGTTTTGAATCTATTATTCCTGTATGTACATACACTACATATAATGATCAACAATATATGGGGTCAGGTTGTCAGCACAGCATTAACGTCAGCATTACAGTGAAGGAACAGGAACACTTCCTCGACATCAAAGGGTGAGTTGAAAAAATCGGAAGTAAACGCAAAATTTGGTTTTCTGTGGCAAGTACCATACCACTTTATAATTTACAGTATGTATGCAACACTTAAAGGCTGCGGGATTGATTTAACCGGCCTGATTAGGGACACGTGATATTATGCAATGGTGCGGCATCAATTTAAGATGCCGAAGATTGGATGATAGATGGATGACGGATGCCTCACCAGGCATAAGCTCATTTTGCCCTTTCATCCATCATCAAACAGTCTTCAACTTTCATGGCCCACAATCTTATAGCACAAGCATCAGATGGTGGAGTGTTCATCCATCTTCTGTCCATTTTCTGTCAATCTGTCCATCCTTAGATAATTCTTGTTTAAGAGCTATTTCTCAGAAAGTAGTAGAGGTTTCACGAGGTCCTTAGTTTGGCATATTGGAAATTGGACATGTCAGAAAAACAAGATGGCTGATAGGGGGCTGTTTCTAAGAAAATACTAGAGGGATATTTTTTGTTCAAATATCACATGCTGATTGCCTGTGGTCCTTAATTTGTTGTAAATAATGAATCTTGGGGATGGCTGGGAAACATGATTACCCAAGAAGCGTCCATTTTGAATTTTGGGAGTTAAAGTTTGTTATTCGAGGATGAACTAGATGAGACGAATTCATGATAGAACTACTTACTCCTTCCAATTTGTGTTCCATCTTTCTCCCTGTCAAATCCGACCCCTTTATATCCATTAGCATTGGGTGCCTTGTTCATTTTATGAATAGATGAAGTTGGCAGTGCATATGCATCCTCCTCTCATATGATCGGTTTTGATACGGTTTTAGTTTCATATTGATGCGGAGCATTTAAACTTTTGATTAAGAGTTAAACAACTGAAAGTAAAAGTTGATTTGCATAACACTTACTTGTAGTAAGCAGTTTTTTCATAAAAATGGGTTTGAATATACAAAAACCTTAGTTTTACACCACTAAGTTTCCATAGGTGATAAGAAACAGTAAGTTTATTATGATTTGATAAATCAGAGTGTCTTACTGGCGGCTCATCTACTTTGTGTGGTTTAATGGGACATGGTTGGACTCGAGGACCACACTGGACATTAAGTGGCGAGAGTACAACGTGACATGGATGAGCCAGTATGGTGTGCACTATCAGACAGCAACAAGACATTTAGACATATGGCACTTCTCCTATGCCTTCAACCTATATTATCACACCAAGTTCTATAACACAGAGACACAGCGAGACACTCTCCTTACTACACTCCGATCTGCCTGGACCGGTATGGGTTTCTGTAAGTATATCAACATTAATCCTTTATTTATTCATTATGTGATATAGAATGATCTTATGTCTGCAGTACTGCACAGTTATGTGATATGTAATGATATTATATCTGCAGTACCGTACAGTTGTGTGATATCGCATGAAGGTATGTCTGAATTACTGTACAGTTGTGTGATCTAGAATGATCTTATGTCTGCAGTATTGCTTTTAAATGCTCAGCTGCAACTTCTGATAGTGTTGACCAAACTACAGTCTAAAGAATTGTTTTATGTATGATGTTATGTTATGTATGTTTTATGTATACTTTGTCACATAACAATAACTCGCAACAATTGGTTTTTTTTTTTACTGAGATGACATGTGTAGAATACACATGGGCCTCTTGTAAATGAAGGACTGTATTAGTTTTGTTTATGTTGATATGGGTAAATCATCAAAAGCAAATAGATTGTGCTCCGTTTTCAATTTAGTACTTTATAGTTGTATCTGAATCAAAGCAGTAAATGTTGACAACTTTTCCGGAAAACTTACAGGACGGTGCCTGGCAAAGTTATTGAAATTCATTGTTAAAGTCGTTATAAACCATGTTAAATACAGACTAACGCTCCAATTTGTTGATGCTGTGGCTTGCATGGCAACTAGAATATGGTATTGACATTTAAATTGAAAACAGAAAGGTCGCCGAAAGACCGACCCTTAATGAAAGTAATTTTCTAAACAATTAATCTTAATCGTTGTTAGCCAATAAATATATTTACTTGTAAATGATCAAATGATCAGATGCCACTACAATTACAAATACAAATGACATTGTTAAATGATTTATTTTCTTAAAATTTCATTTCAGTAAATAAGGAATGCAGGAGTCTTGATGTTGACATTGTGAGACAACACCAGCTACCAACGGCCAGGTTCGTAGAATTTTTTATGAGAATAAGTTTGGGAGGAAATATTATTGTAAGTTTGTTAATTTGTATAAAAATTGGCTTGTTTTTGACAGGTCCGTGATCTGAAGCAAAGTAAAGTTGGACAGTTATTCGTTATTTGTTATTGGGACCCATACCCGAAAATCAGCAAAATTGAGATGTTTTTCAAATTCAGTGTTTCTGGTCATAGCTCGGGGTAAATTCCTATTTCAATCTTAATGAAACTAGGTGTGAATACTATCATTGGCACCTCATGTACGTGCAACCTTTCAAACCCTGTGCACCGGCATATGTTTCACCGCATTTTTCTGTAAAAATTTGAATAACGAAATACTGTCCATTTTTACCTTGCTGTGATCTGTCTGAAATTTGTGGTTGATATTATATTACATTGGCTCCTTCTAATACCTCAACTTGCTGCCATGGGCATGGTTCATCCGCATTTTATTCTTCCTAAAACTATATGTTTCATGTGCATGATGTGGTACACACAAAATAAAAGAATGTGTCGATTGATCAATTTTGATATTTACAAGAACAGAATGAAAACCTGATCGATTTGAATAATTATAAGAACAGAATGACCAATATAATTTATAATTGTATTTGGAATGTTAAATGAAATTTATTTACAGCCGATCGGATACTAACGCAGCTATATAGGTACTTGTCCAAAACTATTGTATCATCATACCATTCAGCTTATCAAGATTTTGTTAGATGTTTGTGTGTCAATGTTTTGTTAACGCAAAGATATTTATACAGATTATTTCTTTTCTTTTCTTTTTTCCTTGACTTTGGACATTAAGCTACATAATATGTACTGTGATTCTGGACTTTTTATAAGAGATGCAGTATGTATGTACATTTATATTTTTTCTAACATGCATATCACAGGTGAAAACAACAAAAACCTTAAAACAAACATTATTGTGTTTATACATGTGGTACAAGGTGTAACAGACTTGCATTAAAAAAGACTGTTAAACCACGATGTTCCTTACCATTTTGTCTGAGTTATATATCATTAGTTCTAATTCTAGGTACATGTACATGTATTATCAAAACTAAACATTCGATTTTTGTGTCAATATACTGATGTAGTAGCAACCATACTAAAATATTAATCAAATGGTTTTTTCGTTGCATACCTTTGATTGCAGTGGCACATTATGGCAGTTAACCTATTTCTTGCGGTACAATGGAGAAAACGGTCACAATTGGACAGTGGACGCGCAATCATGGCCCTTGCTAAATTCAACTTTGCCAGCACACATCTCCACAAGTGTCTCACTAAAATGGTTCCAGTCTCTGATTAGTGTCTACTCTTCCAACAAGGTTGCAGTCACAGATTTCTCAGCTATAGAAAAAGATATGACATCATCTCTTCTAAATCAAAACCCAGGTAATTCTACTTTTCATATTGTTAGCTCATTTACCCTAATTGAGCTTATGCCATAGTGCGTCCTCTTTTGTCTGTTGTCCTGTTGTGCTGGCACTCATCATTTTATAAATAAAGGGTGTGGACCACAAAGGGGAAGAGGGCGGGGCAAAAAGGATTATTTTGGGTATTTTTTTAACATCCTAATTCTTGACTGGTCGGAAGTATTATTTAGACAGGAAGACGACTTAGCGTTGTAAAAATGAAGGATGTGGTCTGTCTGGAGTTTACCTGAAGCGGTCCATCCCAACCCTAGAACATCCTTTGTCCAAAGGGACGCAGTGTCGTATAAATGAAAAGTGTGGCCTACCTTGCGCAGAGGGACAGGGCAAAATAAGGGAAATACCATTTACCTTTAAAGTGCTATAACTAAAGATCAGAATGAGTTAAAGGATTTGAACATAATTTGATCTGGTGGATATCTGGTCCAGAGAAAGCAACATTGTATTAAGACTATGATTCCAGAGAGCAGTGGAGCAGGGCCCAATAGGATTAGTAGAAGTAAATCTTTTAAGATTATGTTCCTTGTAAAAGGGATATTTACCTGAATTTGTGAGAACGTTTTGTGTGGCTATTCTAAATTTGATGTTAATATTGTCCTGGTTAAATCCTTGAAAATGTTAAGGAGAAAAGACTTAATGCTTTGAGAAAATGTATGTACTTGTCATTTGACCCTGTATTGACAAAAAGTGAAAGTTTAGCTGTCCAGAGGATTGTAATTTGATCATATGTTTACAGAGTTCAAAGGTTGTGGTTGTTACCATGTTAAAGTGGAGTTCCAAGAAGAGGTTGTTGATGCCAGTGGGTAAGGATGTCATGCATATTATGCAAAACAGGATCTAAATCAACAATACATTTCATTTTAATGTATTTAACTGCAGATATTCATGATCAGACCGTTCCCTTTAAAGCTATACATAACTGTTATTTGAAAGTGGTACATTTATTATTCTGCTTACATTATTGAGCATATAAATCTGGTGCTCATATTTTCCATCTTGTCATCTGTTACATTTGGTATTGTCTATTCTGGTTTTTTGTTTTTCTTGAACAGACACACGTATTGGCGTTTGTACTACCATGTGTACAAGAATGACCATGTGATTCCACTCTCTTCAATACGACCTATCAGTTGGGTGTACTTTAATAAGCAGTACTCTATTGGTGGGCATTATGGACATCATTACAACTTCTCCTGGCAGTGGACATGGCAGCAGATATACAGCCGATACAGCAGTCTAGGTGGGGTGTACCTATCTCACAGGCTTTCCTCCACACACTACCACCAGCTCAACTCATTATTAGAGGAGTACTACACCCACTACTACAATGGTAATCACTTTTCCCGTACTCCAGCTGTCCAGCTCACGAAAGCAGTACAGGTGGTAAATTATGAAAATTATTGCATCTGAAAATATTAGACCCGCATTAGATTGCACTTGTTTTTGTTTTAAATATGTTAATAGTCTAGGCTACATGAAATACTTCAAATTTTGAAATGGCCATATTAGTTTGTGAAATATAATCTAGCCTGTATGCAGGTTCCGGTTACAGGTTTTGGATTGGTGAATTTCTAGTGCTTGTACACGAGAAAGGCAAACAACCTTTCTATTGGTTGAGTTGTTCATGTATTGTAAACGAAGAGGCTAAATTAAGACCCCTATTTTCGAAGCTAGGCTGCTTGCTGCAGATATGTACATGGTTATTGTTTTTGCTGAAACCATGAGCTTGATTTTATGTAGAATTCACCGGATTTACAAAGATCATAACCTGTACTACTCATTGTTTGCACACACACATGCATTTTCAACTTCCATCACTATCAATTTCTATATATATGTACCCAATCTATCAGACTGACTCACAATCTGGTGGCATGTTATCTATCGAATGAATTGTTTGCTCTACTTTCGATAGGCGTTTCTGAGTTCGATGATATAGATATTTTTATTTTCAGATTTCAAAAAGGTGAAAGCAACAAGTGCCACTACACCCAGGGAATATTTCACCAAAGACGGGTAAGGCTTTTTGGCACCTTAATATGTTGGTTACTGTTGGTATTACCAAAATTAGACCAGGTTCAGTCTGTTTTTATAGAAAATTCACGCAATACTTAATTACTGATCAAATTTAAATGTGTTCCATATTCTGTAAATTGATTGTTTAGCTCACCAGAAGGGACAATATGATTTTGCTCACCTTGGTGTATGAAAGGCGGACACATTTTTAACTTATTCTTTTAGTCGAATTTAACCAGTTCTTCTATACTGTTTTTTTTAAGTCAATAAAAATCCGTGTTTACCTACATGGTATCAATTATTTCAAATGTTTAGTTCACACCACAAATATGTACACAATTAAGCAAAACAGGCTCTGTATATAGCTTTTTATGTTCAAGCCAGAAGAGCGTATACATGGTTGACTGCCTGATATTGTTCTACTTTTAACATAAGTATTTTTGTGTCCTCAGCTCGACTGTATGGCACATCCCGTTTATACTAGAGGTGAATGGAACACGTACCTACCCTCCCCCACTCAATATCAGTGCCCTCCAGTTGAATCTCACAACTGCAAGAGGAACTACCTATGAATTCATCTCCGAATCAAAGGTCACCAGTACACAGAAGTTCTCCTCCATAACAACAGACCATAAGGTTTCCAGTACTGCTTATGAGGAGATAAAAGCTGCTATAATAAAGACCCTTGTCAACCAGTTTCCAGGTAATGGAAGAACATGATTAATATCATTAAAGTAGACTCACTAACACATTGTCTCGAAAGAACATGGTAACCATTTGTCACAGTTTCTTTAATTGGAGTATTCAATGGTAGAAAATGCCTGTTTCAATCAGCTTTTTAAGGATTAAAAGGTACATCAGAAAGTTGGTTGGTAAGGGTTTCACGCAGGTAAGATCCTGAGAGAACGGAGCAGGACTGAGAAAATATTTGTTTATCTGGAGTGAATGCAGGTCTACTCCAACTCCATGTGTTGGAAACTATGGAATTCTGAAACTAAATTAAAATCACCAAAATATACAGATACAGGATTTACTCCGATGGTGGTCCATAATAACAAATAACAATAACAAAGGCTTACAATCACTTTTATACATTTAAGCAAGCAATATCCACACAATTGAACAAATAAAAAGGTGGTTTTTACATGACGTCTTTGCAAAGATTCTAAACTGCTGACGTGAGGAGGTGAGTTTTGATGTCCCTCTTGAACTTGGCCAGGGTATTTGACTTTCTAATAGCAGATGGTAAGCTATTCCACAACGTAGGCGAAACCCTCCCAAAAGCATCTGTTTCCGTAGGTCACAGTACGAGATTTTTGGACACAACAAAGATTCTGACTCCGACCGCAGTGATCGTGACGGCTGATACAGGATAACAAGCCCCTGTAGGTACTGTGGAGCTGTGCCATTCAGTGCCTTGTATGTGTACACCAGAATTTTGTACTGCGACCTGTATTGTACAGGTAACCAGTGCAACGAATAAAGCACAGGTGTGATGTGCTATCTCTTTCGAGTACGAGTTACTAGGCGTGCTGCAGTGTTCTGGACCCTTTACAGACGACAAGTTAGTTTGTCAAGTATACCGCAGAACAGGGCGTTACCATAATCCAACCGAGAGGTAACAAGTGAATGCACTAAAATCGTTCATGCATCTGCAGTTAAAAACTGCCGAATACAGCCGAAGTTCCTGTTCTGGTAGTAACAGGAGTTGGCAATAGCGTTCACTTGTTTCTTCATGTTCAGTGAACAATCAAAGTATACCCCTAGGTTTTTAACAGCTGGAACAGTGTCAATAGTTCTGGCACTGACCTTGAGCTGGAGAGCCATTGTTTGCTGACACTTTGGGGAAAAGACGATTAGTTCCGTCTTTTCCTGATTAAGCTTAAGCATGGTGGCGTTCATCCAGATACTGATATCTGTCAGACAAGCTTCCAGATTTTCTGAGACTGTATTCCAACTGTCTTGTGGTTTGATGACCATGAACCAACTAGAGCACCGAAGTTATAACAACTTTTTTCCCCCCACGATATGATCTTTGTTGAATACCTATGTAACCTCAACAAGATTATCCAAAAACCTCGAAATATCACACTCTATAGAAAAGCTCGGTTGGGAAAATATAAAATCAGACTTTCATTCTCAGCATGATCACCTTATCCACTGATACAAATTGGCAAATGTTTAAAGAAATTGTTCATGATTGTGTAGAACAAACGTAAAATCCAAAGATGGTCAACACTGGACGTCAGATTAAAAAGTGTGACCGCCTTGATAAGAAAATGAAAAAATGAAACTGGACATGTAGATCTAAAAGTGAAATTCAAGTCTTTGAAACACCAACTACAAATACTAGTAAGACAGTAAAAATCTGACAATGCTTACCATTTCATGAAAACGTTTTTGACATATATTAAGCACCATAAAAAGGACCAAACTGGTTCACCTTCATTAAAGCAAGTTATTCGACTCCCATACAAAATGGGAAATTTTAAACGAACAAGTCCCAGTCTGTTTTCACAAAACCAGACTCGATAACGTTTGCAGATTTTAGACATAAATATAACATGCCAAACCACAATAACAACACCATGACATTTTGACTCGTTCTGGTGTTACAATGTTGTGTTTGGTATTTGCCTTGTTCCTGTGTTACAATGCTATGTTTAATATAATGTTTTTGACTCGTTCCTGTTTTATAACTGTTAAATTCGGAATTTCGACTTGTTCCTGTATTTCAATGGTTATGTTGGGTATTTTGACTCGTTTGGCCATCTGTCAGTGATTGTCATCATTGTAGAAGATTCCTTTACAATGGCATTTTCAGCACATATTTAAGAAAGTTAACATTCTGAACAAGTTTTTGTTACAGTGTTTCCCAAGGTCAAAGAAGCTTTAATATAAAAGACATTAGATGTCATTCTACTAGATTATACCCCCTTGTGACTGTATCTTTACTAAACGTAACATAAAGCATTTGTATTGGACAGACTTTTAAGTTTCTAGTTGAGTAGGTAACAGTTCACAATATTTCTTTGACTTCAATGACAGTTTAGTAAAAATACCTTTTTTCTTTTTTTTGCACAGATTTTGAAGCATCATGGCTAAAGATTGATATGGGACCTCAACGAGAATTGGTGGATGAGAAAGGGTATGTTAATAAGGCTACTAAAACACTATATCTGTGGCACGGCTCAACATCGAAGGGATTTTGGAAAGCAAATAATGTGAAGTCTCACTCTGTTGGCTGTGCTATACCCGTGGAAAGGAAGCTTAGGTTTGGGCCGAGGGTGGGGATAGCGACTCATGGATGTTGTTTACCGAGCTTATACAAATCCAAATGAATCGAACAGTGATATGCATATAAAACTGCTTTGTACTTACCTTCAAGGCGTCCCTTATTGGGTAACTAGTATCACACGACCTTGACTCCTTGTTTAAGACCTACATGAACCGGCTAATGTTTGCCTGTCATTGTGGCACAATCAAACTGCCAATATTGAATATTTCAGCTTACTTTTATACAGGAGATGCATTCCTTATAAGAGAACTGAGTAAGCCTGTATTTGTCAGTAAATTTCCCCGATCTTTGTGCTTACCAATTAACAATAACTGGTCCTCTGCTGTGGATAATATAGAAGTGTAGATATACAATTGTAGCCCAGTATGTTACTTAAAAGGCAATATATATTGCTACAATCGACACATCAAATAGATCAGAAATTAAAACAAGTTTCGTTTCCTGTGATATGGTGTACTAATTTGAGTACTAATTACGGCCAACAAAGGATGAAATATCACTGCGAGTTTCAACAAGAGTAATTGTATATGCAAATAGATATTAGGTAAAAAGGTCAGTTCATGAAATAATTCTGTGTTTGTGAAAACATTTTTAAATCAGTGGATTTGTTTTCAGGTATTCCTCCTGGAAGTTGCATTACTCTCTCAGTGTCAATGGTACAAAGTTTGACACAAAGGGTGCACTGATCTTGAACTCTACAGAATTGACCAAAAATCTGTTGACAGTGACAGGGCCTAACTCTGTCCACTACCACCTTGCTAACACAACCAGTCCAGTGTCAGCGGAAACTCTTATGTCCATCAACCTGGCAACAGATGTATCCATCGCCCACACACATCATGTCCAAGAACAGGTCAAGGAGGTGTGGCAAAAATACTATGGAGGTAAGGCCTAGCCCGAACTAAGTGATACATTCCCATACAGTAAACATACTTAATATTTATATAATAATGATAGCGTTTCCAGGCTAGTTTCTCCTTGGATTGGAGCCCAACAGAATTTGCAAATAAAAAAGACCTTGACCTACTTTTAAGTTCAAATATGTCAAAAATTCAAACAACTTCTTCTTAAGTGCCCGGTCCTGACCAATTCTGGTTATTTTGGAACCAATCTTTTGATAAAAATTACAATATGGCCACCATGGCAGACACCTTTTAAAATTCAATCCAATCAAGCAATTTCCCGAGCTTATTGAATTATTGCACGGTTTTATATTGCCTTGTTATTTTTGAGCTGAAACGAAATTCAATATGTCAACTTTTGCTGTCATGTAGAAAAATAGTTTGGAATTTAAATGCAAATTTTACTGAACTGGTTTCACTGCAAGTTAATGGCAATGATAAGTGCATGGTCCTGATCTGTTACTGTTATGTTTAGCTGGTTTAAAATTCAATTTGACCACCAATGGTGTCATCTTGAAAGTATATTTTGTACTGTCATTATGATCACAATCTGTAAGCTTTTTGTGAAATGTCATCAAAGTATTGCCTCTGACTGTGCCTGCTGATATTTTCTTAATTTAATAACGTTATAAATCTCACGTGTAAATCATATTGGACATCTTCAAAAATTTGAACAGATTCGTCATCTGTGGATGTGAAGTTCATCAGACAAAACCAGTTTGTCAGTTTAACAGGGTAAGTTTTTTCATCTTCATATTGTAACACTATAGGGTATATTTAGATCCCTATCTCTATTTACTGAGTATAAAACGTATATCCTTCTTGTGATGTTTCTTTCTGTTAGAAAATGAAATGTTTTATTTCTGTTAGAATATGAAGTGTTTTATTTTTATTTGAATATGAAGTGTAGATAATTCTACAAAAGAGAATGCCGTTATAATATTTCATGCAAAATCAGTCAAACTTTATGCATTAAGTAATCTCGAAAATAGGGGTTTAATAGGGGGCTATAAAGCTATTGAACTTCAGAGTAATTTGAAGAAATAGTTGAAGAATATCATAAATGGTTATAACCGTGGCTGTAATGTTACTGTTGGTATACTCATAGACATATGCTCTTCACATGATGTTGTTATCCATTTGTCGTGCAGTGTTGGCTCTCCACCTTTTTAACTAATCTAACCTGTTATAACTTACACAGAGAATCCTTGTGGAGGTGGGACTATGTACTGAGTATCAATGGCACATCTGTACAGCCTGAGGAGGTCAAGTCAATAGACAGAAATCAGTTGACAACCAACCTTCTCAACTTGACTGGATCAGGCACAGAAAGATATCAACTGAAGAACTGGACATCGGCCTATAACAACTATGAAATGCACTTCCCTCTGTACATTGCAAACAAAGTTTCCCAGACTGACTTTTACAAGTTTAAGGAGAAACTACACAAAGCATGGCTTGCTATTGGTAACTAAACATTTTGAAACTGTTTTCTTTTTTCAATTCAACGGTTTATCCCACATCGTCATGTTTTGATTAGGTGAAACGTCTGACAGCACGGGCACTGTAAATATCGCGTATAGGAAATGATAGAAGTACAAAATAGGTTTAATTAAGTTGACATCACTTAATCACACATACAATTGCTCAACAATGATAACATACAGCCATCGATGTCAATAAAGGAAGTTCAATAAAGAAGCTGTTTATATAAAGTACTTGTTGTTTAGACATAGGCCGTCATACTATATATGGCTTAGTTAAGTTGCAAAATATCAAAACAAGAGGGACTCTTTAATCCCTTAAAAAATAGGAGAATTTAATCCCTATTATTATGGTGTTGATTAATAATGAAATTCACAATCACGACATATTTAAGTTTGATTCTCTACAATGATAGCGGAAAAACCGCTATGTGATTTCCGCTTAATATTACCATGCCGAAACATGGTTTTACACAACCAGTGAATGAACCCTTCTGCTAAAATATTGATGTCAAAGATTGTCGGGGAAACAAAAAATATACACGCACACTGAAATGCAGCTTAGACAGGGTAACGGTACAGGTACATTCATTGTACTATTTTGTCTGACGTTCGGCCGACACCTGTAAAACACACAAGCATATACTGCAGTCTACCATGAGACATGTCGATGGTATACGGTAAATGATTCACATTTGGGAACATCTGTACGACAGATGGAAAGATTAAATACTAAATTTTTATGTGGCTGGGAATAAATCGAAATTTGAGGAACACCGGTTATTCGAACAATTGCAGTTCGAGTAATCTGAAGTTAAGTTACAAAGAATATATAAGAACAAGGTCGGGACCCAATCAAACTAATCCAGGAACAGTGATATTCGAGTAAGTGAGATTACACTGTATCAATCATACTTGGCTGGAAGCATTCTTATGATATGTGGATTCCAAATTGTACAACTATATTTGACAGAAATCATCCTCAAGTTATGGGGAACCAAAATTGTACAAATGGGGACTATGGGGCAGGGGAAAAGAGGGTTATCTATCTATATACCTTCAAATGACGTTTCTTCTGAAATTGTAAGATAGATTGATATCTACCATGGTTTGATGGAATGATTCTTAGGAGCTCTTGGTTGGGATTCAAAAGTATTCAAATGAAGAGACTGATCCTTCAGGGTAAATGAGGGATAAAAACTGAAAGATGGTTATCAGCCATATTGGTTTAGAAGCATTCACAGGAGATGTGGATTCATAATTGAACAGATTAAGGTGCTGACGAAGAGATTTTTTGTTGGGTTTTCAGTTCATCTGCATGGGCAGCATCTGTCATCAGCCAGTCCGCAGTATTTCCTTTTAAAGTAAATTTTGGTGAAAAATGGAAATGTTATAGAGTCATTATGTTTGGCTTGTAGCTTCCCCGGATGGAATACAAAACAACACCTTTTTGGTAGACATGTATTGTATTCAACAGGTTAAAATTCAAAATAAAATTCCATGTGAGCTATCACGACTCACGGGCCTCTTCTTAGGGATTCTTGCATGTCCTTGTTTGGGGACAGACTCTTTTGTTGAGAATATTGAGTCAAGCTTATTCGTATAGAATTCCGCTGTTGTTTGTCTTACTCCTCCAAACGTAATGCACTTATTCCAATGAAACTTGGTATACAGTTAAATATATCACTTGGAATAACCTTATAACATATTGAGTTATTACCCTTTGTTGAAGACACAAATTTTCTTATTACTCCTTCAAAAGTACTGTGCAAATTAGAACGAAATTTGGTATACATAATGCTTATGTTGATTGGATGGTAATAAACTATAACCTGCAGGTTGAGGATTGAGAAAAGAAAATACCTGTTTCCCCTATTGTTGAAAAACAGCTTTTCTTTAATTGAATTGTGCCTCTGTCCTTACAAATATTTTGAAAGGTCTATCCCTACAATTCTTGGTACGGGCGGGTGGTATTAATCGGCCATTATGCTGTCAGTTCTAGTTACTAATTCATCATGTTTATGACTTTAACACTTTTACAGGTAAGAATGTGACTGTGGATATAGTAACACAGGAAGAGATTGTCAACTCCAAAGGGTAAGTAAAGGATTCCTTTACCAAGAAAATAAGCATAATCTACCTCGTCTAGAGCTCATCAACTCACAAGGGTAATGTAGTCGTTCTGCACCTAGAGCTCGTTAACAGGAGTGGGGTGGGGTGGGGGTGGGGGTA